GAAGTGCAGCTTGATGAACTGGTTCCCCTCAAGCTTTTGCAGAAGTCAGTGGGATTTTTTTCTTACATTGAGGGAGAACAGAGCAGAATCTCCATCCCATAACTCTTCAGCAGCAGGACTGTGCCTGGTTCACAGCTGGGGAGAGAAGGGATGGACACTGTTACTAAAATCTTCTCCAGTCTAAGGTACTTAAGTGACTGGTGAAGTGCATATCAAAACTCCTGCTGCTTCATCTGGTGCTATCTCTCCCCCATGCCATTTTGTACTATGCATCTTCTCTGACCAAAATGTTTAGATACACGTTAGAGCTATGCAACCACTGTGAAAATGGAAAATTAAGCTAGACTGTGTGGCCACAGCAGTGGCAGCTCTCTTGTTAAAGAGTCTTCATAAGTGATATGCTCAGTTTTGCCAGGGAGAGAGGGGAAACAACTTGGGTTTCACCTGCCAGACTGGAGTTTAGAAAACACTGTTCTGACCTTAAAATTGAGTAGCTGGGATATGGATGTCACAAGCCTCCGCTGACTGCAGAGCAGGCCGTGGAGCAGAAGTAAGAGAGAATGAGCCCTGCAACATTCCAGGTATTGAGAAAGGTGCTTTTCTGGCTCTTAACATGTTTTTAATTTAAAATAATAATAATAATAGATGAAGAGAACTCTTGAGGAGAATAGAACTCTTAAGAGTTGGTTTGATGAGATCTTAAGCGGTTCATGAAGTTTTTCAGAAGAATTTCAGTCACCTTTAATAGTGGTTGATGTTTTCTCTCAGTTTCCATAATCTAGTCACTTTCACTTCTTGGTATTCCACAGAAAAGGAACATTCCCATGGGCATCTTAACACTGCTGTACTCTTCCTCTCTGTTAACAAACAGTGTGTATGAATGGGAACTGTTCTTTCTGAAGCAGATGCAGAACACTAAATGGCCTGAGTTTGTTCTTCTGCAGTTTCAGGAGAAGAACTATCTTCAGGATACACTGATTCCCATTGGTCTCCCTCACAAAGAGCAGAGCTCCCCTGTGTTAGGTTAGTTTCTAACCAGGGATTTCAAGTCATCTTATGCTGCCCATGTAGTCAACAAGGAGGCAGCAGGCAGTTCAGGTCACCTATGATGTGAATTGACCTCTGGGAGAAACTTCATCATCTGGAAAGTACTGATTTTGACTGGTTTTCCTTCGATGTGAGCCATGTTTAAAGCAGTATAACCCAGCCCAGCACTCCACAGGCACCACCCTCAGCCCCTGTGGGTTCACAGCTGTATGTGACGGGAGCCAAGAGTAGCACAGGTGCATTGGGTGGGATGGATCACATCTGGCATCCGAGGGCAGAGCCCAGCCTGTCCCTCTCTGGCAGGGCACCCACAGCTTGCCAGCACTCCGTGCCTTCCTACCACCAAACTGCAGCAAGCAACTGATGTGTATTTTGACAAAGGTCTATACTATTAAGTATTTGATTCTAGCTGCTGGTTTCTTTTTGTGTGGCACATGGAATACGTATGTTGGTGGGGAGCGATTTGAGACACGTGTAAAACTAGGAAGATAACCCATACTTTCATGTCCTGTGGCCATGTAAAATGCCATTGTCATTTCACAGACTTTTTATTTTTTTCCCCTAAGTTAGATTTCAATCAAGTTTTGCTTCTTTTGTCACTTTCCTCACTGCAGCACTTTTCTGTGGTGTCAGGAGAGCAGACTGGCACAGTGGAACTGAGAGCCACTCCAGGTATTTTGGCATTGATGGGCCAATCTGGCATGCCATGGTAAAGTGCATTCTCACTATTTGCCACTGTCATCAGCCAGTCTTGGTTTCTCTTCTTAAACACATGCTTAGGAAATAATTGAAGCACATGCATAATAATTCTTACCCACTCCTCCAAGGAAGTTATTTTACTGTATATTTAAATAATCCTCAGTTAAACATTCTTTTGTACTTTCTCTTGGTTTGTGTGTATACAGCTGACACCATTAAATTTGAAAGATGGCCCAATTCTGAATCTAAATAAAAATCACTTGAAGTATGAGCAAAGACAGTTCCATGTTACCAGCTGCAAACCATTTAGGCCTCCAGTGTGCAGTACCATTTGCTATCTGGTAAATGACATGCTAATAATTGCCTGTCAATCCATGAATCCTTTAGGGTGAACTCTAAGGGATTTCAGTACCTTGTAAATAGGATTGGTCTTCTCCCTTCTGCTTCTGTTTATATTCTGCAGTATGTAGTTTATGAGTAGAGCCTGTATGAATATACTCTTCTGTGGCAGGAGATTGGATGAAACACTTTGTTAATTCAGGTTATTTATTCCTCACCTCTGTGGAAAAGAGAAAGTTGCTTTGCAGCACTGCCATGACCCATCAGCATGACACATGACCTGATTGGAGATGGGGGAGGGAAGAACCTCCATTTTAATTTCCTTATGGCTTACTTTCTCACACCAAAACAAACTTGTTTCCCACATTTCCCAGAGCAGCATCCAGTGTGTTGATATCTTATGGCTGTGTTGGTTGTAATTAAGCCCCAGAATGTCACCTGTAATGTAAGAACATTTTGAGGCTCTTTTGAAATGCAGCCACTTTCTTATAGCTAGTTTCAGTTTTCATTTGTTCAGTGTATTGGCAGGTGGGGTCTGACTGAGCTCTTGCTTGTAGGTGGTGGTGGTGGTTGGGTTTGGTCACTGCTCATGCCCACAGTGGTACCAAAAGGGAGGATGCAGCATTTCCACTTGCTGCAGAGTAACTTGAAGGTGTCAGTGATGTATTGACAGGCAAAGTCTTTCATCAGTCAGGTGTATATGCAGTGCTGTGAGCCACCAGGCACGTTTTTTGTGATACTTCCCATAATGCTTTTCCCAGGTTAATGTCTTCCAACTGTAAGATAGGGCGTCTTTCTAATTCGTTGTCCTTTTGCTATTTTGTAGTTTGAAATACTTGAGTTGTACTGATAAAAGTTACAGTACATCAGAACTTAGATTTAGGATTATAGATAGGTAGGTAGATATGTCAATATATCTATATCTATCACAGATAGGTGCTATTTTACTTCTAGACTACAATGCTGTGAACTTCTCACAGAGGTGCAAATCATTTATTCGCTGTCATATGACAGGCATAGTGCCAGAATTTCTTTGTTTCCACATTTGAAGTGATAACACTTTTCTTATGTCTTTTGTAATGTAGTTAAGAACTTTTAACCTTACAACCTTGCTATTAATCTGTTTCACTATTTCTCAATGATGAATTCCATTTCTTTGGAAAATACTGTATACAGTTGTGTGCTAGTGTCAATAAAATTGACATTTGTGTAACAAGCTGTGGCATTTTCTCAAATTTCACTGAACTTTGATTTAGTGTGAAACTGTTGGTAAATCCTTTCTTTCTAGCTGTAATAATACAGACCTTTATTTCAGACAACTACTGCTTTGACTTTGATTTATAGTAGGCTACATAACTGTCGTGATTACGTAAACTGATAACTGTGCTGTTTTCTCCTTCTCTTTTCAAAGGAATGATTTATAAACGTGAACTGGTCTGGAACTGGAAAATATTCATGTTCTAGCAATAAATCTTGAGTTCTTCCAGAAAATAAATAGGTTTTACTACTGGCCCAATTATATTTATTTAATGTTATATTTACTGGACTATCTCAGCTGTGTTTTTTTAGCAACAGGAACATTTACCTATCATAATTTAGGGAGGACATAATCACATGATAGTAAATTGTATTTGACCCTAATTATACACAGCGATGTATGTGTTTTACATTTAATCTTAGACAGCCTGTTAGCTGTGGTAGTCAAGAGCTTGTCACATTTTTTTGGTTGGATTTTAATGTATGATGCCAAAATGGCACAGACTGTAAATGTTCTTCCACATGACAGATTCTTCTTCTAAAACAGGTTTAGGTTTTCAGATGTATGGAGGAGGGGATAACTGGGAGAACACTGGACATTTTTGGCAAACTTTCTTTCTATGCAGTCATTAATTTGGCTGCCTCCCAGAAGACAAAATGCTAATTTCAGTAATTTAATGTAGTGTATATGAATCCATGGAAGTGTAATTAATTGTCTAATTCTTTAATATTTTTAATCCAAAATGAAATGGGACTTTTTATCTGTGAAAATCTGAAATTGTCATGCTTTGTGCATTAAAAGTATTGCTTTTCTTATGTAAATGTAATGCTAGCATTTCCATCCCAAACAATCAGAGGAGCATGGAAAGACTTACCAGGTATAATATACATACTCGTGTCGTGTGTAGAAATTGGGGAACTAGTAGCTTTCTCCCTTCATGTTAGATCTGACTGATCTTAGCAGCAACACTGCTGTAGAAAGTTATCCTTTTTCTCTAGACTTCAACTAGATAAATTTGTACTAACCTGTGTCCCGTAGTTCCCTGTGAAGTACTGATTTGAGTGTTTGAAGCTCTGCTTTGCTGGAAAGAATGGCACTCCTGGAACAATTCCTGTATTGTTGTATTTACTCTTTTCTATAGAGTGGATTACCATGATGAAATTTTTTTTATATTAAGTTGATGTTTAGAATCGTGGAATGGCCTGGGTTGGAAGGGACCTTAAAGACCCCCTATCTCCAACCCCCCTGCCATGGGCAGGAGCACCTTTCACTAGACCAGGTTTTTCAGAGCTCCATCTAGCCTGGCCTTTAGCACTGCCAGGGATGGGACAGCCACAGCTTCCCTGAGCAACCTGTTCTAGTGCCTCACCACTCTCACGGTAAAGAACTGCAGCTCAGTCATCTGTGCCTTGATCCCTTCCCTACAGAGATAGTAATTTCAGCCAGTTTCATCACTAAAACACCCTTAACCAGTCCCACGGTGAATGCAAGTGGATGCAGTTCCTCTGGCTTCAAGGCCATTTGGGCTAGTTTGAGGACCCTGATGGCTGTGTCTTGTAGCATAATTTCACATGCTGCAATTTAAGACTATAACTCCTTGTGGAACTTTCCTGAGAAAGCGTGTCCTAATTGATTTCTCTTTTATCATTTTTCTTAGCAGGTTCTTTGACTGGCAGCCCTCACCTTTCAGAGCTTTCCATCAATTCCCAAGGAGGACCATCAGTGGCAAATATGACTTTATCTCCAAACTTGAGCCCTGATGCCAAGCAGTCATCTCCCTTGGTCAGCCCTTTGCTGAATGACCCGTCATGCATCAGGGCTGATGATGAGGAAGAGGTCAAAAGAAAGGTAAGGCAAATGAAGTTGGCCTTGTCTCTCTTCTCTCTGAAGTGTTGTGATAAATCTGGGTCGTTCCTGTTGGTTGCAACCTCAGGAGCTTGTTTGGATGGGGTCTCCTATAAATCCAAGCTGCTTTTAAGAAGGAGTGGAGTTTGTAATTTGTGGTAACAAAGCAGTCAGTTCCATTGTCTTACTGGAGAGAAAATTTCCAGGTGACAGAAAGAAAAGGAGTAGTGTTGAGCCGGTTGTGGGAGTATCCAACCCAGGCTCTCCTGTCTGTCTCTGCTGGGAGCACCACTGGGAACATCTGGTTGTGGGAGTAGAAAATGCTCTCTTTGAGCCACAGCCTGCAGCCTTCAGCTGGGAGTGTTTGGCTCAGACCCAACATTGCAGCAAAACCGTAAGGGAGCATCGCATCCCAAACTGCTTTCTGAAGAGAAATGTTTGTCTGAGCCAGGGTGTTCTGGGTGCCTGCTGGCTCATCCCTCCTCTGCTGCTGGGTGAGAGGAGCTTCCTTTTGTCCTCTGTGGTCGGTTTTTTTCTCCTCAGCTTGGAGCATCTCAAGAGGGAGAAGGAAAGTCTGAGGTCTTTGCTGGAAAGAGGGAGTTTGTGCAAGGAAGATCTCCTTTCCCACTGTTCATAGTTAGCAAGATGTGTGAAAGAAATTTGAGAAGAAAATTGGAGAATCAGTTAATAGAGTTAGGACTCTCTGTGCCAGTCCAAGATAAAGCAGCCAGTGACTGTGTGCACCAGCTGATGTTGGTTCCTATGGGGGTGCATTCTGACTAGGAAACAGACTCCCTTTGCAGGGCATTCACAGTGTTTCCACTGCATCATTTGTCTTCAGGGAGGAAACAAAGGAAAAATATCTATGGATGGTTTTTCCTTATTTTTTCCTTCCTGAGCAGCAAAGAGGAAGATCAGTTGGGTTCCTCTGGCTCTTCAGAATTAAGAAATTCTGAATCTGTAGCCTAATCTAAAATCCTTCCCCTCTCCCACTGTTAAGTTGTCCAGCCAAGAAAATCTTACAGGTTTGAATTTTTTTGGAAGCATTTTTCCTTTGGATTACCATCCTGATGATGAAACTTAAAATAATCAGATACAAATTTTTGTCATTTTGACAATGATTCAAATGATCATTTAGCCTGCAAAGGATTTCTTCATAAACTTGGCAATATGTCCTGCTCCAGAAATAAACTGAAAGGAGTATCAGCACCCCAAAGCAGTAGAAATTGTCTTGGCAGAAAAAGAAGTCTCTCAAACACCCATAGAAAAGTTCCTGTTCTCTCATGTTTGCAAGGAAGGGTTGTTTTTAGGGCTTCAGGGCTTAGGAACATTCAAGCGTGAGTCACAGCATAACCACAAGCAAGGGTCACTGGTTTGTAACTCTCTCTGTGATTTATTATCTACAATTCTGTTCTCCATAAAAGCAGAGGAAAACCTAATGTGCTTGCAATTTACAGAGGTTCCCAACTGAGAAAGCTTACTTCATTGCTAAAGAAGTGGCGACTACGGAGCGAACATACCTGAAGGACCTTGAAGTCATCACATCGGTATGTTTGCTTGAGCATTACTCACAGAGCACGTGAAGCTCTCCTCAGTGGTGGCATTTCATCTGCTCCATTTAACATCCTAGCTCTTCCATGCTGCTTTTATAGTCTGCACTGTAGATACTCTTTGCTGTGCACAGGAGTTCTCCTCCAGGGAGGAAATAATGCAAAAATCAGAGAGTAGAGGTTTGCTCTGTGGTTAGTAACATGTGCTAGGAAGCTGTATCAGGTTGAGGAACTTGGGACACACTTCAGTTGTATTTCCTTGCTCTCCTGCTTTGTGGTTATAATTACTAAAAATGCCTGTGGGTTTTCAATGACTTCTCTTAAAACATAGGCAGCTCCTTAGGGGCACATACAAATGTTCTCTACTGCATTAAACGCCCTCCATTTAACATGAAATATTGTGGAGTACCCATTTGAATGATTCTGATTTTTCAGAAAGTGAAACTGTGTTAAATGAGTCATTCACCTGTAGCATCTGATCAGAATGTGATTGTTAAAATCACCCAGGCTGCCATCTTTGCACACACAGCAACAGCCTTGTTTCATTTCCAAGAATAATGAGTGCAAGGTCTGATCTGAAATAACCATTTTTCTGTGAGATGGCACTGGATCCAAACCCCTTCATGGCATTTTGGCCAACTCCAGACCTCTCAGCTCTTATATCACCCAGTGAGGTGCATTGCCCACTCCTGTGTTGAGTGCTGTGGTAAGGAGGACATGCTTCAGGGGAGAGTGTTGGGAGCAGCTGGGAGCCAGGGACGCACTTTCTCCTCAGCTTCTTGTCTGTTCCAGGATCCCACGTGACAGATGCAGCTATCAGACCCCAGCTTAGACAGAGCCAATATAGCATGGTCTTTACAGGCAGCAGGGTAGCTGTGGCCCCACTGCTACTCACCCTTGCTTTCTGGGAAGCCAGCCTGCTGAGAGGAGAGGCTAGGCTCTGTGGGATGGTTCTGCAGTCTTAACAGCAGATATGCTATTTTCATCTAATATTTCACCCAATGGCTGCAGAAGCAGAAAGTTTTAGCTCTTCAGAGCTAAAGGATGTTTCCCACCCCATCCTTCATTCTTGTGATAGGCAAATTTGACTTTGCTGGATCACCAAGGGGTGTGGGCTTGATATTTGGCATGCAGTTGTATCAGCTGTGCTCCACAAATGAATGGCCCAGGAGGCCACTGAACATGAACAAGTAGCCAACATAGCTGGAAAAGGAACAACTGTGTGCATTAATTTTGAGACTTGGTAGATGAGCTTCAACTTGAGCTCTGCTCAGTACTAAGATAAAGCAGGGGAGAGGGGAGTTTGGGAGGGATCTCTTTTTATCCCAGGTCTGGTTCAACTCCAGCTGATGCAATGTCAAGCAAGACTGCTCTAACAGTTTTGTATGGTCCCCAAGACCTTCTAGGCACTGCTGGAAGTCAAGCACAGATAGCTGGAACCCCTCAGGGCGGTAAGGAGTGAGCAGTGTTACCATGTTGAAGCTAATAGGCATTACTACCTTGGCAAGCTGCCTGGTCCTATGGTTTTATGTCACCCATAGTCTGTTAGGGTGAAATACAGATAATTGGGAGCAAAACTGAGCAGGAGCCTGTTTCAGTCTTTACAGTGCCTGGCACTGCCACTCCTGTTTTGTGTGATAGCAGTGTCTTCCACTTGTTCACTTTGCAGAGTGATGTCCTGTGTGTGCACACAGCAGCATGGGTGTGGGTGCTTACTGAGCCAGCTCCTGCCAAAGGCATTTCAGATGGAACTCTGCAAAAAGAAAACACAGAGATTTTTTTTTTTTCTTCTTCTTCTTTTTTTTTTTTCTTTTTTTTTTTCCTTTTACTGAATTGTTTACAAGTATTGTAATGCTCTTTCTCTTGCACCTCCAGCATTTGCAAATTCAGTTTGTATTGACTAACCAGTTTGGGTTTGAAAAGAATTTTCAAGATTTGATCAGCAATGGCAAAGGGGGAAGGGAGTTCCTTTTTCAGCTGTGCAGGGTCTGATCTCTGATAAGATCACCAGTTCAGCACACAGGAGTGTCAGGGATAGTCTGGATTGTATTCCTAGTGCCAACTAAATAAGATCCTTGCTGGCTTAGCTGTTCAACCCTATTTGGGTTAGGTACATAAAGACAAAAAAATACCATACCCTGTGCTTTCCACCCACTGATAATTTTGCTTCTCTTTTCCTTTGTAGTGGTTTCAGAGTGCAGTGAGTAAAGAGGATTGTATGCCTGAAACTCTGAAAAATCTAATTTTCTCCAACTTCGAACCTTTGCACAAATTTCACACCGGTTTTCTCAAGGAAATTGAGCAGAGACTTGCTCTGTGGTAAGACTGTTGATTGTTATTTTATCTGTATTATTTCATGCAGTTTAGCATTTTTGCATTCCCTTCTTGCTAACTCCTTGTGATCTACTGTCGTGCTTAATTTGTGAAAGTCACAGATGTTGGTTATTAACAGACAGGGTTTATTGAATCGTGCTTTGTTCATGTTTACTTGACAAACTCTGTTGTTCAGATATCTCAGTTACAGACGTATGCAAATGAGATCATCATTCTGGATGAAGCTTTCTCTTGCCAAATGTCACTGTTTCTACATGGCAGCTCCTTTGAAGAACATGCTGCAAGCAAGGCTTATCAGTAATAAAGAGGGAGAGGCAAAGGACCAGGTTCTGTTTCTGTCAAAATAGGTACAGGCTCAGAGGAGTTCACAGACCAGCTTCTCATTCTGCAGCATCACAGCTGTGACACTCACAGGGTCTACAGTGCACTCTACAAATTGACAGAGTGTTGGAAGAGGACACTGGGCTTGAAAATTATCTACTCTTAACATAACAGTGACAGTAAAACGTGGCATTTTTACGAAATAGCTATCAAGTGAATAATTCTTCCCTGGCAAGGCTCTTAATTCATTTGACCACTGAAATCTTAGCAGAGGCAGCAGCATAAGCAGAAGCCTTCTGCTTGCTCCGATTAGACCTTTCTGGACTAGATTGTCTTGCTCTGTGTAGGCATTTTTTGTAACTTATCTTTGGTTCTGGGAGCTGAGCTTTTCCTTCTCAGTTAGAAAAGTGACAGTGAAAATCACGTGAAAACAGAGCAGGCAGACCTAATGTTGCTGCTGGTGCTGAATAGATCACACAGACACAGGTCGAGGTGTGGTGAAAGGAAGAGCTAGTTTATTTTTCCTCCCAGGATTTATAGGCTTCTGACCAGGGATTGGATGGTCAGGATAACACTTCCTCACTGCACTGGCCATGAGAGATGCCCATCACAAGACATGTAACAGAAAGAATGTACACATATCTATGTTTACAGTTACTGTCCTGGGAAAGTCTTAGAGAACTATGTCAGCAAGCTCAGAAGCTGAGTTTTCAGGGCAACAACCTAATGGGTGTTAATCAGTTTAATTAAGACAGGTGCCTCTTTAACTAATGAAAGCAAAACACAGTGTGTGAGTTTAACTCTTGTGATGTATTGAGTTCACTGAATGAAGGCACAGCACTTTGCAGACTAGTGCTGTCCAAACCCACCCTGCACAGCTGCAGAATTATAGCAGGTGTTTTCTGGGAAGAGGGGAATTTGGTACTCCCTCTCGGAGCTGACATCCTCACCCAGGACTTTGGTTGACTCCTAATATCATTATCTTTATATATATATAAATATATATAGTTTGTATATGTATTTATATATAACTAACATCCTAAGACACGTTCTGCACAGCCGCCCTGCCTATATTGCTCTTTCTTTCACTGGGCTGCTACTGGTGTTAATTGCATTGCACTAAGCAGCATTTATTACAGCTACTCCAAGAAGGCTCTGTCAGATGTTATAAAATACTGATTGTTTCTTCAGCCTTGGTATAAGATTAACAGTAGTTGGAGTTAGTCCCCAGCTAGTTGGGGTTAATGCGTGTGGCGAGAAAAGGAAAATCTGTGCAGTTAGTAAAGACCAAGTTCTGCTCTCTGTCAGACCAGTCTAATCTCACTGGGTGCTGACTCCTGGGCACATGTTGAAATTGAGATACCTCCTGTATCCTTCTGGTGGCATTAGAGGTGGATGCAAACCTCCTGTTCAGGTGTGATGTTTTCAAAAACTGGATGATGCTGCACTACCAGCCTGCTGTGGAAAGGTGACATTGTAGTAAGTGGAGGGAAGGAACAGTTACGTTAAATAAAGAAAAAGTCTTTAGGCTTCTGGACTTCCATGGTTTTACTTTGTTTCTCCTTTTCAGTTAGCTTCTATTACAGCTGAGTAAACCTTCTGTTTTTCAGCTTCCCCATAAAGTTTCATGGGGTGGTAAACCTCAGTTTAAAGCTTCCAATGTCATATTTTAACTGCCCTTCCCCTGTGATGTAAAGTGCTGATCTGCTACAAAGTTACTTTGCAATCCAAATTTGTTCAAAAATATTCTGCTGAGGTAACTTTGTCCCAGCTGGCCACCTCATTCTGACTTTGTCGGCTCAGCTATTGCATGTCCTTCCACAGTTAGTGTAAAGCCACTGGGATTTCTCTCTCGTCTGCTCTGACTCGCTTGACAGAAAAACAGTCACGTTCCTGCATTCAGTGTGCAGCCAACAGCCTGGATGCACCTAATGTAATACCCCTGTCATAGACAGTGGTTGTTGTTAAAGTTCTGGAAGATTGGAATACGTGCCTTGGGAAGGAAGGCAGACTTGCTGACAGGTATTATTTTGGAGGTGTTGCTGTTTCTGTATAATGCCACAGATGCTGAGATAAGCCACAAGCAATAAAGTCTATCCTATAGAGATTAGTGTTTAATTAAACAGTGAGTGACAAAATTAAGCAGGCCCTCGGCATCCACGAGAAGCTGGTGGCAACGTGGTAGGAATTCCTTCAGCAGCATGGTCAAGGTCACTTAGCTGAGTGCCCACACTGCCAGAATGGTACCTCTCTCTTTGGCCCTGGGTGTTTTTAAGGCAGTGGGCTCTGGCTGTGTTCATCAGCTCAGGGCAGGTTGCTCCCAGCTGCCCAGCAAATCCTGGGCCTGAGCTGGTGGCACAGCTGCAGGCAGGTGTGGGCAGGATTCAAGCAAGCTCATTTAAATCTGACTCTTCCATGTCAGCTCTTAAATTTCCAGGCAGGTGTCTGAGGGTGGGGGGAAGGTGGGATGCTTGTCCTGAGACACGAGCTTGTTCTGCATTTGTCAGGAGGTGACATGTCCCATAAAAAAAGGGCCTTTGAATGAAAGGGCAGTGGACTTCATCAAGCTGCTGGAAACCCATGTGCTGTGGCAGATTGTGAGAGAGAGAGCCTCCTGCAACCAGTCATCTGTGTTCCCCTAGTGAGTAGGATGCTGGGTTTTATCAATTCAAAGTGTAATTCAGCCCGCTCATTCTACACACGCATAAGCGCAGTTCTCTAAGGTTTGTTTCAAGCCTTCATGCTGCGTGTTGGAAGATCTAACAGGAGGTCATTCCCTGCTCTCTTAGGCCTTGGATAATATTGAAGCTGATGCAAAAAAGCTGTGAGGAGAGCAAGGCTCAGGGGGATTGTGCAAAACAATTGTTAGATGTCTGCATGCTTTTAATTTGTTAAAACATCTATAGACTTTTAGTACTTGGCTGGAGGAAGCTCAGGTTGTGTACATTATTAAAAGCATTTCTGGCTTGCTTGAAGGCTTCACAAGTGTTTGAATCTGCAGTCAGGGGCAGGCTGTTTGCTACAGAACAGCTTAAGGGCCAGTGTCCTGTTGACCTGGTTATAGATTCTGGCAGGTCTGATCTGTTTCTTTACACAGTTCACCCATTTTTCTCTTTAGGGCTGCATTTCCTAAGAGCAGCACGTCTCAGTGTCCAGGGCCTAGTGATAGTTTTTAATAAGACATAGATTGATACTGACACCAAAAGTCAGCTGCAGAATACGGGAAGTCAGTGCATTTTGTTCAGCCAGAGTTTCTTTCTGGCCATGAAACAGAGAAGACTCCTGGTGGTTCAATTGGACAGCATCCTAATATGAGTGATACCATGCTCTGGGCCACGTTTCCAGCCCTGCCTGTGCTGTTGCAGGGCCAGTAAAGCAGCTCATGAATCTCCTCAGTTGCCCCAGCTGTGCTGAGCTCTGGAGACTGGCCATGTTCCTGGGAGCAAGTGAAATACCCCACTGGAGGCCGTGGGGTTCGAGGAGAGGAAGGATGCCCTTTGGTGGATGCAGGCAGTCATGGTGCCTTGTCTTCTCATACAGGAAGGGAAGAGAAGAGCAGGAAGCTGCCTCAGGTGGGAGAAGGAACAGCACACGTCAGGCTGCTCTGTGAGCGAGTGCCAGAAGAGCTGCATCCGGCACTTGGGCAGCCAGATGCTGATCCTGGCTGCCAGGACTCCTCAGCGAGGCTTTGGGTGCAAGGCCAGGAGTTCCCAAGCCTTTTTGCTGGAAGAAAATATGGGAGGCATATGTCAGTGACTTCAAGCTGGCTCCCATTTCTCAAGACCAGTGAGATTTTATGGCAAGGAGGAAGAGGTGTGGGCAGTGCAGGCAGAGTGTGACATACTTCATCAGCTTCTGGGCTGTTGAATCTGAGAAGTCAGCTAGGTTCTATTCCTTCTTTTATCTCAGCTGTTTAATAAGCTATTCATTTGGACCACAAGCACCCTTTTCCATCCAAAAGAATTGAGCTCATCTTTCCACACCCCCTTAAATATATTACAAGTTTCCACACTGATTTCTTTAAATGATGACAGAAATTGGCAGATAGAGAACCATAACCACAGAACAGCATAGAGAGCAATGCTGGGGCAAGCCAGGAGAGCTGTTTCTGCCCAAGGAAGCCCTTGTCAGGTTGTACAAATCTGTGTTTTGGGCCTTATCCATGTGCTAGGAAAGAAAAGTGTTATGTACTTCCCAGAAGTGCAGGCAGACTCATCTTCTCCCAGGGAAGCTGCTAGTTTGACTCGCAGATCTTTCTGATGAAAGCTGCTGCTCAGTGTTACCAGATGGGAATGTGTGGCTGGTAATTTGCAAAAAAAAAAAAAAAGGGCTCTTAATCTTAGCATATGAAAGGAGAAGGCGCAATCAGGATTTGTGGAAGCAAAATTGAAAACCTGTAATAAAAAAGCACTCAGGGAGGTGTAGGAAGATGAGCCAAATGCTGATTTATTAGCTATTTTTTTTGAGAAGAAACACTTGTGCTCAGGAAGAGCAGCCTGATAGACACTTTATATAAACAAGGCAGCAGTCCTTATCTGCCTTCTCAAAAGCAGAGTGCTGGCTGTTTGGCTGGTTCTGCATGTCTGGTGAGGAGGCACGAGGAGGGCAGTTTCAAAAGTGTCCTTGTCCTGTGTACAGAAATGAGGTGTGTGTTGCAGTACAAACCTCTGAGTTATGCACTGCGGATTCCTGGGACCAAGACATCGAGAGGGGCTTGCTGCCAGCATCCTGGGCTCGATTTTGGGAGGATAGTTTCCACTGCTGAAGTCACTTTTGGGTACCTCTGGGGATTGGAGCTGTGCTACGCCCAAATTAACTGGAAATCGTGGGAGAGAAATTGCACATCCGGGATCTGTTAGTCAGAGTTGGAGCTGTGTTGTGTCCATCTCTGTGGCTTTCCTGGCAAGATATGCCCAGGATCAGCTCTGAGGCTGTTCCACAGCAAGATATGGAATGCTGTTGCACTTACAGCATATTTTCATGCAGTGGTGTTACTTGCTGGGATCCCATACTGGTTAAAAGCATCACTGATGCATGTTTTGCTGTAGGTTGGGTTTCTCCCTCAATGGGGGTAGCCATCCCAAAGTCTTTAAAAGTATGCACGCCCTCCAAAGGCTTGGTCTGATTCTGGGAAGCTCTGATGGCTTCAGCAGTACATTTCTTAGGCTCTGAGCTGCATGTCATGCACCACTCACGGCTGAAAGTCCAGCTGGAACGGGCAGGGCAGTAAGAAGCGCCGTGTAACAGCAGGGTGTGAGCAAGTAAAAGGACATTTGCTTTTATTGACTCTTCTTTTCCAATTACAAAACATTCCTCTTATTTAAAAGGCAGTTGTAAGGGGAATATTTAAGGTATTTTTTAATATTAGAACTTTAATTAATAATAAAGTCATAAAAACTTCAATGGTGTTCAGAGAACCAGCTGTGGTATTCAGGAGGGAGTTCTTGAGCATGTAACACAAGGTTACACATTGTAAATATAATTTGTTACAATTGACTTATTATTATTTTGGCTGCAGTTCAAGGCCTGCAATCAAAGACTTCTGTGTTTACCTCAAAAAAGTCTTTATTGAGATATCATTTAATTCTTTTTTGCCTTTCCACCATTCCCATCAAATTTCTGTTCCTTCTGATTGGGGGTATGGGCTGACTTGAGATTTCCTTCTATTATTTTTTCAATTATATACACTAAGAACTGTAATTTGAAAATCCGACAGGGCTGATTGTGTGATCCCTGTAAGTCAAGCTGATGGCTGTTTGAAGTAATCTATATAAAAGGTAGTGTCTGAATTTCTTACCAGATAGAAGTCTGCTTTTCTTGCTAATGTGCACTTGTATGTTGCTTTAAAAAGGAAGATAAAAATGGAAAATGACCTTATTGTACAATAATGTCCCCATTTTTCAGCATGATTTTCAGTGGCTTTAGACCTCCCCCACGATGTCAGTGAGGGCACATTATGTGTGGGGAAAGCAGCTCCTGCATCTTCTATGGAGATGGGCATCATAAATCAGCTCCTGATGAAAAGCTGTGAGACCCTAGGCCCTGAGTTTTGTCCCTTGTCACTGGCAGATAGATGCCATGTTCAAACAGTGACCCGTGAAAACAAGGAGTAAGAAGAACAATTTAGCCATTGATGCACAACAAATGAGCAGCTTCTTCCCTCTCAGCAAGCTGAGTGGTGTTATTCAGAACATACACCACAGGGAGAGCTCTCTTTCCTGCTCCTGTGCTTTGGGCTGTTGCAGCAGTAAGACATCATCTGATACGTTGTGTGTTTGGGTTTTATTTTTGTATTCTGTGTATTTGAATGCCCTTTTCTTGGTGTTTCTTCTTGTTTTCCTGGGATTTGCATGCTGAGGAGCTGGGGAAGATGGCAGTGTAGCATTGGGTTTGCCCTGGGTCTCAGGATGGAGCTGGGGTAGTGTGCAGGTTGGGTTTTAGGAGGCAGATGGGAAGCTGTCATGTTCCCTCCTGCCCAGTTTCAGCTTACCCTGCCTCTCTGTCCACATCACAGCCTACATGCCTGTGGACCATCCCCAGTGGGAAAATCACCTCTGTTGCAAGGGAAATTTATTTGACTGGAAATAAATAACTAAAGCAAGAAGAGTGGCTGGGACAAGGAGCAGTATGCAGCCATCCCATTTCTGTATTTTCTCCTGAGAAAGCCCTGGGTTTATTTCTCCCAGCAGGATGTGTCTGAGTGCATCACAGGTCGTCTCTGTCAGCCTGGGCTGAGGGCTCTGCTACCTTTCAGTTCTTCAGCCAACAGCTGGAGAGAGGCTGTTGCTTCTGGGGAACCCCTCTGTCACTTACTCTGCCAAGATGTAGAGTAAGTTTTGAAAGCCCTAAAAGTCTGTGGCTGATGCCAATGAAGGGAGACTGTTCCTGATGCTTTGTGTGTGACTGATGTGGTGAGATGCTGTGCAAGCAGTCAGTGCTGGTGGTGCTGAAGAGGGTCCAGTGGGTCAGCTTTTAGGAAGTAAGGACCTGAGTGTTCCATGAACAGCTACACTAATTATCAGCTATTGCAAGGAAGCACTCACTGTGACTTTGGTAGGCTTGGGCTCAGCCTCTGAGTAGCTAGATAGTAGATAAGACACTTGCAATGTGTATTCTAGCCAATCTGTATTGTAGCCTTCAGCTCAGAAAAGCAGTGTCTATTTAGAAAAAGCAGTCTGTAATGATGTACTTACTATTTATCTTGGCAGTAAGTAGATAACTATATATTTCATACTCAGAAAGGTACAGAACTGCCGAAGTCCATTAGATTAAATCAAATGTACACATGGAAAAGGATCCAGGCAGTGCCAGAGAAGGAGAGAATATCACATAAAGCAAGAATTCTTAGAGAGATAATTGCTGAATACCATGTCATTGCTGGTATTGTGCAGCAGCACAATTTCATCTGGCTTTGACATTTCTGAGCTTGTGTGTAGAGCCCAGCATGAACCATTTGGGAGGAGATGCTGCATGCTGGCTCCATGGGTGGAGGATGGCTTTCCCCTGCTTCCTGCCAGTGTGGGGCTACTGCCTGGGACTTAAATGGCTGTGGTTTTCAGTCAGGAGCACTTGGATATGCACCACTTGGATCAGAGCTTTAGTGGCTGGCAGGTTTTATTTACAACCTGTCAGAGGAAATCTCAGTGGGGAGAGCTGCTGGATGGGTAGAATATGGGGGAAGGGAGAATTGAGGAACGGCATAGAATGGAGATGATTTGACAGACAGGATTCCTGGAGACAGAAATTGTACTTTTTTCCTCAGGAAATGTGAGAACTGTAGTCTTGTGATGTCCATATAGACCTCTGCTGTTACTTTCAGTTTTAGTTTCATTTCTTGGGCATGATTTGACTATGGCAGTGTTTATATTACATAATGTTTCTGCAAAACAGTGATGGTAATTAAAGTTACCATAGACACAACCCAATTTCCTACCCCTGGTGTAACCTCTGGATTCAGAAAAAAAACATTAAAAAATCTTGTTGAGAACTGTTTTTCCTTGCCTAAATAGGCATGTGAGTGCCTGGGAGGGTTAACACAATAGGATATTATTAAAGACAGCCTTTGAAACTGGGTGTTGTTCAAATGAACACCCCTTGTTTATCAGTGGAGTCTCTTTGTCTGTTGAAAGATAAAATTGAAAAGGGGAGGGGGACAGTGCTTCTCCCCACACACTCCTAGTGATTTTCTTTTGAAAGCATCGCTTTGTTGGAACAGATCTGTAACAGTTAGGTTCTTCTAGTCATGATTTTTCCTCCTGTTTTCAAAAAACGTGTTTGGTTTCACTCAGAGCATGGCATCCTTGCCTGTCTCACACAGGATTTAGGTACAGGAATATCTTTTCTGTCAGGAGCTGTATTGGTTCTCAATGCTGCGCTCACTGAAGTTCAGCTGGCTGGGTGAGAGGCAGCACTTTGCATTTGTGAAACACCAGATGAAAATTCCTGCCAGTATGTAAAACTTCTGAGTCAAAGCCAGATGCTGGATGGACTATTTTTTTTTTTTGTCCCCACTGTCACTTGCACAAGCAGAAAGCTCTTCAGAGGAGGAACAACCCCTCAGGTCCTGTTCTGGGGTTCAGCCATTGTATCTGAACAGAACTGACCTTCTGCTCTAAGATCAAATATTCTCATGGGACTCTGCTGTCTTCTTTTTCCCCAAACCATTTCCAGCCTTCTCTGGTGTGTTCAAAAATACTAGCAATTTTCTTTAAAAGTCTAATGCTTCTGTAAAGTGCCTGCCTTCTCTGCTGTTAGGAGTGAAAGGCAGGCTAGGTGAAGGATGTACTGTACCTGGGAATTACATGTCTGTCAGGAAGATTCCTCACAAGCTTCTGAACGAAGGAGTATGGGGATCAGGATTTTAAAAGAAATGAGCTATTGAGTTTCAGTGCTTAGAAGTGATTATGCAGTTTTATTGTATGACTGAAGTGTGTGGCATTTCTGTTGCTGACAGGGAAGGCCGCTCTAATGCTCACATTAAAGGAGATTACCAAAGAATCGGAGATGTTATGCTGAAGAACATTCAGAGTATAAAGGTAGGAATGATCCTATCAAAGCTACTAAGCTTTGACATGGATTTACATTAGCATGCTTTTCATTTTCATATGATGTTGCCTCTTGCAATGGTTTTTGCCAATTGTCATCAAGGCTTCTGCTATGAAAGTTTCCTTTGGTGACGTAGCAAGCGTTTGGTGGATTTCCTGGGATTTTGGAATTGCAAGCTGATTTTAAATTGTCCATCCTCTTTCCTCCAGTTTCCTAAGAGCAGAAGCAGCAAACACAAAAGTTCAGGAATATTTCATTTCCAGTTCCTTTTTCCATCAAATAAGAAGGCAAAGCATTGGAATTTGTGTGGCTGAAGAGACTATTCAAATGCTGAGAGTGCCTATTTTTTCATGCAAATATTCATGTTAAGATATTGCAGGATTAGTGACCATAAGCTGGATATTGATTTGACTTGGGAAAATTGTATTTGTGCACTACAGTGCCAAGTTAGGTGAGAGGTTTTTGAATCATGAGAATAATTGCCTCTGATGCCCTTAAGACTAGAAGTAAAAATACATGTGTGAACCATAAATCATGGTGTAATGTTCGGTAGACTTTGCAACTCTTCTTAGTCCGGGCAGAGCAGTATTCTCAATGCTCTGTGTTACTGAGAAAATATCATGGGATGCAGGCACAGGAGCCTGTGAAAACTCTACAGATTTTTTACAGTATGGGTGTAAGCTCACCTTACTGTAATGTATCCATGTATCCAAACATCCATGTTGGTGTGGGCCAAAACAGGACATTCCACCTTCAGCATGCGGATCTCAGAGTGGTTTTGAAACTCTCCAGTAAATCTTTCCTTGGGGATGGCCACTTGGGCATTCTGCAGCTAGTAAATGGAGCAGCCTTGAGTCCTTGGCTGGAGGAAAGGGCAGTTTAATCATTACAGCTCTCACGAGATGTTCGCTAGGACTCGGTTTCTCTTTCAAAAGGACGGAGAGAGACGCGGGGAAGTGAAGTGACACACAAGTGAGATTATATGGCAGATCAGACAGAGGGAACAGAGAAAGCTCCATTTACCATCCCCAACATAGACAGCCTTGTCACCAATAAGGCAGCCTTACTCTCTCTGCAGTGGTCTTAGCCAGGAACTGCTTTTTCCCCTCAAGATGTAATTCACATGCATTGGAAATGCAGAAATGTAGAGGGGGCCTCAGCCTCCATCTCTGCTCTCAAGAAGTATGCAGCTCTTCACAAGCAGGTTTTAGAGTACCAGAGAGCTTTGGACAGACTTTGTCTGTGCTCTTGGTACCTTGCAACATTAAATGGTCTGTCCTTTGCTGTCTGCAGGTCCTTCTGGGGCACTAGTCTAAAGGCAGTGTAGAGTCCTCACTGTAACTTAGACCCAGCAGTGTGCTTTCACCTTTCCCATTTTCCCTTTCCCATTAAAGGGTTTTACTTCATTTGCTTTGAGATCCACCACCACTGATCAACTGATACCTGGAGTAAAGAGACAAAAGCTGGTTTAACTTAAAAGAACTGCACAAGAAACAGAAATAAAGTTAGTTAAAACTGTTCTTATTTATCATGAGACCTGTTAAAAGATCTGCAAACTGACACTACGTGTTTAATTAACATAGGAAAGACGTTAAGAGCAAGTAATTAATGGGCAGCTTCTGCAGCAGCCCACAGGGTCTGCTGTGTCTTTTCCTGAGTTACAGGCTTGTAAAATTAATATGAAGTGTGTGGAGGAAGCAGCTTGGCTCTAGGGAAGGTATGTTTCTGGTAAACATGTCACAAATCACAGGAGAGAGAGAGTTGACTGGAAATGTGTCAAAAAGCACAAACTTCAGATTAAGCCAGAATGTCTTCTCAAGTCCATTCAATTTATCCATTCAGGCTTTTTTTTGCTGCTGCTTAATATACTACCATATACTGGAAAACTTTAGTTGGCTGCTCAGAGAAGCTCTGTACGTCCTGAAGAACCTGTTCACCTTTTGTAAAACACAAATAATTCCATGTATAAATTGTTAAAAAAAATACTGATGAATTGTTTTAAGGGGGAGTTGTGAATACCTGTGATACTGAGACCTAAATGGAGTTAAGTATTTAATGCAAAGCTCATTCATTGCTGGTGTGCAGAGTGTGCTGTGTGGGATTATTTAGAGACTGCTCTAAGGAGAAGAGGATGTAGTCCAAGGATGAAGAACTTGTAACATACACATTTCTGTCGGGCATTGCCTCAGGTTTTGTGTTTGTTGAGTTTCCCAAGAGATGCAGCTTCTCATTAATAAGAGGAGAGCAGAAGCCAGAAGTTTGTTTGCCTGCATCTCCGTTCCCCAGAACCATCTAAGGGAAACTGGGGCATCTAAACCCCTTCATCGTTTCAGAAAATCACATTTTTTGGCTGTCTCCATTGCACCTACTTGCATGAGCTGTGTTCACATCAGCTCCTTGCCCAGGATTTCTCACTGATAAGAGAGTTAGTTTTGTTGAATTATGTACTTTAGTTTTCCCAGGAACGCAGAGAGGGTAGGGGTGTCTGCTTCAAATGAGTAATGCCTTTTTCTCCTTGGCAAGTGAATATCAGAGCCATTGTGTTGTACAGTGATTTTGTTTGCAAAATCCCCACTGCTGTGCTAGTTGGATGTATTATTGGATTAGGTATGGGCTGAGTCATGTCTCTCAGTGATTGTTAAGAGCCTTCTCTTTTCTTTCATGCATAAAAGCAACTGACAATTCACCTGCGAAAGCACAATGAGATTTTAATGGAGCTGGAGAATGGGATCAAAAACTCTCGCAAGCTGGAGACCTTTTGCAGAGATTTTGAGCTACAGAAAGTCTGCTACTTGCCTCTCAATACCTTCCTCCTCAGACCTTTACACAGGCTTATGCACTACAAGCAGATAATGGAGAGGCTTTGCAAGCACTACCCTCCAAACCACATAGACTTCAGGGATTCAAGAGGTAAGAGAAGAGAAGAGATGTCAGTTCCTGGAGCTGGGGAATGGCATCCAAATCCATTAGAGGTGTATGGCTAGAGAAAAAAAAAAAAATTTTTTTTTTTAAAGCCTACATCAAAAGAGGATTGAGTTGCAAAATCCACCACTCTGAACACCATAAACAGTAGGATAAAGGTTGTTCTTCTATACACATTATGCCACAGTCTGGGCAGGTACTTGGAGAATTCTGCTGGGGGTTATTAAACAGACAGAAATGACAGCAGGTTCAGGAAGTCTCTTGAACTGAAAACAGCTGGGAGGTTGGGAGAGAGCACAGGGAACATACCATATGTGCTTGTGTTGTTCCTAGCTTTCCTTAGAGATTCTCTAATAACACAGAATACTAGCCTAGGTGAACCCTTGGTCTCACCCAGTAGGGTTGCTGTTATTATGTCTTTCAGTGTTATTTGTCCTTTTTTTTAGCAGAATACAGTTTTCTCTGTTACCATTTCCGTGATTTGTTTCAGGAGCTCAAAGCAGCCAGCATGGGTTGGTTTTGGATTTGGGGTTGTTTTTTTTTCAAACATGAAGAAATTGCCCTCCTGTAGCCTGAACTCGCTGCCTGCCATTTCTTTCTGATGGTTTGTTCTCCTTCCTTCTTGTGCCTGGCCCCACACCTGTTGCAGGCTGTGTGTGTTTAAGGATAACTCTGTTATCTGTACAGCGTTGGTGCAGATCCATGAAAGAGCTTGGGCAGGGAGCAGTGCTCAGCACAACTGCTCCCAGGCATAACATGTGAGCTGAGCTCCCTCAGATTGTGTGGGATGAGACCCACAGCAGGCAGTGCATGGAATGCAGAGCTAACCTGACCTGTGGCAGTAAGAAATGCCTCTGACACCGGGGTGCTGTGTGGCTCAGGTGTTGGCCCAAGTGTCACTGCTCCCTGAATGATCTCAAAGAAGGTCATACAGCGAGTAGTGCCTGCATTTCTTTCAGCCAAGGCCAGAGGATGAAGTTGATGTGTCCATTCTCCTCTCCCCAGAGAGTATAGCAGTCTGATTCCTGCTCCACTTTTGAAACTGATACAAAAATAGGTTTCACAGGTGAAAATAAGAGAACATGAGGACAGTGTGACTTAAAGACCCCATCACTGTGAGATCAGTTTCTTACTAAGGTGTTTGGAGATTTTTTTAAAGGTCAGAGTCTAAAGGAAGCCAAAAAAGAAAAAAAGTGAATTGAATCTCAGAGGAGAGCATAATTCTCCCACTAGCAGGTGGGTGAACTGTGTACTGAGCAATGATATAAGAAGGAAGATAGAACCACCATTACTGTTCACATGACTTGTTTTTTAACACCAATGGCTTCTGGCACTGAAGTCAGCCAGTGTCTTTGGCCCATTCAGAGACTGCCCACCCAGCCATGTGTATCAAGGTTGATGCTCCTCCACAGGGAATTGGTGGTGTCTTTAGAGAGAATGAAGTAGAGGCATGATGAAACTCAGTGACGTGCAGCCCTTTAGTTATTCTCATTGATGGGACTGAGGACAAACCCCAAGGTGTTTGACATCTGAAATAATACAAGAAGTGACACTGCCATTTCCTGCTGTTTTCAAATACGGACCTGACCCAGTGTGCTGCAGGCAGGGGAAAAAATGCATTTTTTTTCAAGCATTAAGAACATCCCTAGACTGATCTGAGTTGTAGGAAGTCCTTTATGAGAATCCATTAGTTGGTGCTCTCAATTGACCATACTCTTCTTATAAAGTTCCTGTGGCTAAAACAGCACAGATTTTTGGGAAATGGACTGTCTCTTCATCAAACACTCCACCCCTTCCGCTGTGTAAGATGATGTCCAGAGTTTGTGTGGGTTTCAGTCTGCCTGAGAGTAGCATTATGCTGTAGAGGAGAAGAGTAGCACAAGAAGGTTCATGAGCTGGGTACTGCTGACAAAAGCCATATTTCTTTTTGAACACTCTTGTAAATTCTTAATAAGCACTTTATGGATTTGTCCATCTAGCTGCTTTGGCTGAGATTTCTGAAATGGTGGCTCAGCTCCATGGCAATATGATAAAGATGGAGAACTTCCAGAAGCTGCATGAACTGAAGAAAGACTTGATAGGCATGGACAATCTGGTGATCCCTGGAAGGGTAAGTAAGAGAGTTGTTATTAAGACTTGATACAATTTCAAGTCATTAGGTATGTTCTCAAAGCCTGTTTATTAGGGGCACGTGAAAAATTGCCTTTCCTCATCTGAACCTCTTTCTGTCACCAAAAACTCTCAGATGTAAATGTAATAATGCCAAAGTCATGTTTTAACACCAGCCAGCAGCCAAGACCCACACAGCTGCTTGCTCACTGCCCCAACAGCAGGACCAGGTAGAGAATCAGAAGGGTAAAAGCAAGCAAGAGAACTTGTGGGTTGAGGTAAAGACAGTGTAACAGGGAAAGTAGAAGCCTTGCACACAAGCACAGCAAAGCAAGGAATTAATTCGCTGCTCCCCATGGGCAGACAGGTGTTCAGCCGTCCCAGGAAAGCAGGGCCCCATCACATGTAATGGGGACTTGGGAAGACAAACATCATCACTTCAAATGTTCCTCCCTTCCTCCTCCTCCCCACTTTATGTACTGAGCATGATGTCATATGGTCTGGAATGTTCCTTTGGTCACTTCAAATCTCCTGTTCTGGCTGTGACTCCTCCCAGCCTCACATGTACCTCCAACTCCCTTGCCAGTGTGGTAGGAAGAAAACCAGAAAAGGCCTTGGCTCTGTGTGTGCCCTGCTCAGCAACAACAAAAACATCTCTATTATCAACCCTGTGTTCAGCTGCTTGTGTCCAGCACAAATCCAAGACACAGCCCCATACCAGCCATGGTGAAGAAATTAACTCTGCCCCAGCCAAAACCAGCACACCATAGAAAGCAGCACCTTTAAAGCAGGAAAAGGCAATCCTCTATTGCCTTTGACTCACTTTTTATGTTCTGGTTTTTGTATAGATTTGAACAGTTTTAGGCAATCCCAAACATCTTTTACAACAGAGGCAGTAAAAATGTAGTATTTATCACAGCATTCAGAGCTTGAGCACTTGCACATTTCATGCTGCCCTTATTTTCTTTTCTCAGCCCTTGATGCTAGAGCTTGGCAGATTAAAGGCAAGTAAGGCATTTGTGCTGGAGGAGCTCTAGCCCTTTCACCATGCCTTGCTGTGAAACTCATGGCCCTGGGGAGGAGCAGTCTCTTCAGTCTACATGTAACATTGGCCAATAATTTTTGACACAGTGTTGCCTTAAGTAAACAATTTAATTGTGCTGTAAGAATACCAACATCTCTTTCTTACTTATCATGCCTTTTTAAAATCAAAGGCTCATTTCAGAACAAATGAGCCACAGTTTAATATTTGTAGCCTTTTTTAATAGTCACACATATCTGTGTGTGCAAACTTGAGAGTTGTTTGTTGTTGATGTAGTTTCCTCCCCACTCCCTTGACTTTCATGTATAATGCACAAAACCAGAATGTGTGGTTGGGTTTGAAGTGGATGTGCCATTGGGAAGGCAGTGCTGAGCACAGATATTTCTGGATTTGTGGCTGTTCTCCACTCCCTCTCTTTACCTCTTCCCTGTCTCCAAGCAGCTGCCACAGCTCCTGTTTCTTTCTAGTGATCCACAGACTCTTCACATCCTTGGCAAGTCCCTCAGGGTGTTTCACAGCCTCTGCATCTCTCTATCACATGAAATTAAATGCTGTCATCAGGTGATCCTGCTACCTTGGTCTATTTAAAGCCTGAGCAGTCTTCCTGTCCTGTCCTAGGAAGTTCAAGGAAAAGGCAGATGGGGGGGCAGAAGTTGTTTGCCTGCCAAGACAAGAAGCATTGGCCACCACGCTCTGGCACATGCCCAGGGTGTTGCTGCTTCCAGCCCTTTGGCTGTTTTCTGGCCCTGACTCAAGTCCCTGCCCTGGTGCAGGCAGGGCTGGGAGGCAAATGCCACTGCAACCCCATCCTCTTCAGGTTGTCCCAGAGCAGGATGTCTGCTGCTGAGCTGGTTCCTGTGCTGCTGTGAAAACCCCCCGTGTCTGGGTGTCCTTGCAGGTGGCGGTGACCTGCAGCTCTGGATCCATGCGGTCACCGCCGCTGGCCGTGCTGGTGCCGAGCCTGCCAGGGAATACCAGATGGTGCCACATGGTGCTACTTAGATATTAATAACAATTCATATTCCTTGGTGGCCAGCAACAGCTTCCAGCAGCCCCTCTGGTGCCATGAGCCTGCTGTGGTATAGGGATACCCACCTCTAGCCACTTTTCTACCCCTCAGCCCTTAGGGTAGTACACTGGACACACCAAAGCAAGGCTAAGGTGTTCAGATTGTTTCTCTGGACAGGTTGATCTAAGCCAATTTATTCCTGAGGTGATGGTGATTTATCCACAATTGTGAGTAGAATGACCTTAGAGAGACTGTAATAAAGAAATAAGTATAAACCTCTTAGCAGTAGCTGGAGGGAGTGACTGAAAAATGATATTTTCATGGGTTTCAGAGAAATATAAGGGTGAGTTACTGCACAGTTCACAGTAAGCCCAAGAAATCCAGCATTTTGAAAGTTTTAGATGTACTGCTTTTCCTCTATTTCCATCCCTAAATATTCTTAAACACAATGGTCTGAATTAATGTGCTGTATTATATGATATGGATGGTGCTGGGATAACTCACACTGCCAGAAAAATGTCTTTCTTTGTCTGCTGCTAATGGTGATGTTGAGTCGTGTAGCTGGTTTTACATTGCAGTGAGAGAGCAATGGATGCCATATGCACCACAGAAGATTACCAGTGGTTAACCAAGAACACATATATCATTAGTTTTTATGTCATCTGTGCTGTGAAAAATACTCATTAAAAACTGATGAAAGAGGGAGCTGTCTGAAGGAATTAATGTCAGATAAAGACAATTTTGCTTAGCTGAATTTTCTTAGTATGAATAAAAGGAGTTTATCCTAAAGACAGTTACAGACAGAAAGGAATTACCCTATAAATTAGATTTCTAACATATTTAATAAAATTAAAAGTCATGGTAATTAATAGTAAAGTCATTTGTATGACCATGTAGTCGTATTTCTGTTCACATACTAAAAAATCATCATTTCTGCAGGAGATACATTTTTGGTTTGTATTTGTTTCCCACAGGAGTTTATTAGACTGGGCAGTCTTAGTAAGCTGTCTGGAAAAGGTTTACAGCAACGGATGTTTTTTCTGGTAAGCAAGAAGACAATTTTTCTTTGTACAATGAAATGTAATTCTAGGCATCTACTAGACATAACTGGTAGACTTGAATTTTGAATTACAGTAGGTATTTTTAAACAGCCTTATTTAAATTAACATAGTACATCAACCACGCAGCTGGTTGTTAAGAACCTACATTTCTGTTCAAATCCAATATTCTCTTTGTAACTGCTTCTTACAGAGATAAAGCTATTTTTCATATGACAATGTGAATATAATGATAAATACCTCCTTGCACCTTGTCTTAAATAAAAGCGGAGTCATTACAAAATGAAAAGGAGCACCAGGGATAGTGATCATATTCAGAAAAGAAGATAAAGAGTGACTCCTGGTGATACAAGGAATAATTCACATAATGCTCTCAGAACACATTACAGAACCAAATTTTTCCACAAACCATCCAGTTCCAACATGAGTGCCCAGCATGTTGATGGACCTGCCTGTACTTGGAGATACATTTTGTAGGTTTTGCACTAGGGAAGTTTGACTCCTCCCACCACTTTGACATTATGGTGATCCCACTCAGTCTCTGATCCACAAGAGCCCACTGGATAGTTCCTCCTCTCTTTTCTTTCCAGCCAGCTGATTTGTTCCCAGGCTCCTCATGTTACTGCTCTTGTGCCCTTTGTGCGGGATGCCCAGCAGAGTGCACAGATTCTTTAGTACACAAAACCCTGAGGAGGAGACAGTGTAATGTGGCAGAAAAATGCTGCCTTGGCTTCTTGTGTGCAAAAGGTGAAGGCAGTGGCTGTGTAGAAAAGTCTGTGAGTGCACTAGATTTTACAAGGTGTTTGAGATTTAATCTTTGCGATGGACCAAAGATATAACCTGATAAATCTACCTGAGTAGGATTATCCTCAGCCTTTAAAGGCACTGAAGAGGAAGCCTAATGAGTACGGTGCAGATTTTCTTGCGTACCAACAGATACTGGATGATGCCTTGGAATTGTACCTGTATACAGCATTAAAAATCTGACAGCTAGACTCAAGTCAGTTGCTTTCACTGTCAAAGAACTTTTTTATTTGTCTTGAGCACCAGAATTTATTTGGAGGTAAAATCCCAGGTCAATACTGTGGGATTCCAAGTACAAGTGTAATCATTGGCAAAATTAAATCCCCCTCTAGTGGCTGATCCACAAAGCTTCATGAATTACTTCTGTTGCATTGTGGAGGTCTGTGGTGAGAGCTCTGTCTCACACCACAGAGTATGATTTTCTGGTTTGGTTTCTGGTTTCTCACACCATCTGATTTGAGAAAAACACCTTTTAACCAGGGTGGCTCAGTGAAGATACTCTGTTCATTTTATGGCAACAAAATGCAGGCAGTCATTTCACATACTTCGGACAATTGTTGTTACCTGCAGGAAGCTCTGTAAATTGAGATTCTCAGTCTCTTCACCTTGATATTTTTAACCTAAAACCATCTACCTTAAAACAGGTCTCCCAGCTTCTTTCTGAATATGGGGAGTAAAAGATAGCCACTGTTTGTAAGGGCTGAGTAGAAAATATCTCTTGGGCAGGTTTGCTTATATTTTCTCTCTAAGCAGGAGAAAATATTGGTGAAACATACACTTTCCATAGCTTCAAAGTTCAGCAGAGTGTGAAGTATACTGCTGTGCTTCACCTCTGCTGTGGCTTAATAGTTCTGACCTAGAGGTCATAAAGGGGACATTAGAAGGCATTGGAAAATATCCAGAGAAAAATTACGGAAACATAACTAAAACTAGCTGGAAAGGAGGGCTGGGAAGGTAACAGGTACTAACACTAGGTAGTGGAATATTGTGGAAGCCAATATTTTGGATTAACGCATTAGGATTGCCATATAAATACTCAGCTTTCCTGTATTCATTGTTCTGATTTTTTTTTTCACATACATGCATGCCAACCAACACCATTCTAATGATGCTTATCCTTATTTTTTAGTTTAATGATATCCTGTTGTACACAAGTAGAGGCCTGACAGCATCCAATCAGTTTAAAGTCCACGGGCATCTTCCACTGTATGGCATGACAGTAAGTATTGTGAGAACTTAAGGGCTTCATGCATAAGTGGCCATTTGTGGTCACATCTTATTTGCTTGATGAATTTCTGCTGGGCTGAAAACAGCAGCAAAGGGGGAGGGGATGTTCTCTAAATCCATCTTGGGTTCAGCATCTGTTCCTGCAGCCTTCTGCACAGAGGTGATCACACAGCAAAGGTGAGAGAGGAAAAAGGCCTTTGAGGGCTGCTTCCTCACAATGCAAAGTTCTCTGGAGATGGGTTCTTTGTTTTTTTTAACCATTAATTTGACCATGATTCTTGCAAGTAATTAATCACCAATTCATTATAGACACACACACAAGACAAGTAAACAGTAGTGACAATGTAATTTCTATAAAAAACGCATTTCCTAATGTTTTCAGCTCTATATCATAAGCCAAAGTAGTGGGACTCAGGCAGCAAAATGTCATTTGGAGCTCTTGTTGCAATTCTTCTGGAAAACAGCCATTTCAAGCCAATAGCACATATTTACCTCTTCTTGTATTGTTTCAAAAGTATTTTTGCTGATTTCAAACCACTTTAATCCCCTCCATTATTTTCAATGGAGCTTCTCACTGTTTTGTATCAATGCTATACTGTTCTCCTGAGAACCAAGTTAAATTGTCACTACACCAGTAACTGATTTTCTCTAAACACTTGCAAAGTTTCAAGTTTTAACTAGCATTTCAAGGAATCTACTCAGTCATTGATGGCCATTTGGCCTGGACTTGCTCTCAGCAGAACTGTGCTATGCTACGGTTTTCAGAGCACTCCCAGCATTTAACACATCCTTTTGTACAATAAATCACTCTTCTGATAAAAATACCGCTATTTTCTTTGATACAAAGCACACAAAGCCATGCTTTTGGTTCAAGACATTATTGCAGAACTAACTTTATATTCTTCCAACTTGCAAGGCAGTGTTTTTTCCTCAATATCTAGCTCAAATCTGTCTGTGAGCATTTCTCCTAGTTTTCTTTTCCCCAATGTTAGGAGCTCATTCAGTTCACTGTTTCACCTTAAGAAATATGCTCTTCCTGCAGTCTGACTGCATTTGGCTTTTTATCTCTCAGATGGAAGAAAGTGAGGAGGAATGGGGAGTTCCTCACTGTCTGACACTACGAGGTCAACACCAGTCCATTGTTGTTGCTGCAAGGTAATTCAGTGGAGACAAAGTCCACATGTGAATTGTATTTCTCTGCAGCTGTCACAGTGGGACAGAGGCATTATTTTCTTTGTATTTCCTCCTAAAACAATCTCCTCAAAGGTATATTTTTTCATGAAAGCCCCATTTGTTAAGAAAAATGTGGATGCCACAACAGAGTGGCAATTGTACAAGTCGGAACCAAAACTAAGTTATCAGGAAAAAAAAGGTAGCATCCTGTGTCTGAATTTCTTTATTTCAGTTAAAAGTAAGCTCAGCTTGTGTCTATTTCTTAGAGTTTGCTTTCAGTCTGTGTGAAAGTGAGTAAAACTTGAATTTTCATTGTTAGTACCCGTGCTGAAATGGACAAATGGACTGAGGACATCCAGATGGCAATAGACCTGGCAGAGAAAAGCAGCGGCCCTGCCCCAGAGTTACTGGCAAGCAGCCCACCTGACAATAGTAAGTAAATGCCAGAGAGTAGGTTTTACTCACTTTTGTCAGTACGATTGGTGGTTGCTTCTAAGCAAAGTGGTGAAAAGTGCTGGCCACAGGTCAAACAGAGACATTTGAAGTTGATTTATACACATGTGTATGTATAGATATATAGATATATGTGCCATTTTAAAGCTCTTGTTGATGTTAGCAGAAAGTTTCATTGAATAGAGAAGTGACTTAAGCATAATGGTTCCAGGAACTATTTGGGCATTGCCTGTCCTTGGAAGGTATTAAAAACACCAACAAAGCATGTTAGTTAGCCTTTAATTCTAACATTTGCAAAAACACGTAAATTAATTATATAAAATACAATAATCTATTTAAAATCTGCACAAAATTATTTCTAAAACGGTGTTTTAAAATCAGTTCACAATACTGTGGACAGAATTGATTTGTTTAATTTTTCCAATTATATATGTTGTTGCATAGAGGAAGAAAGATGCTTTTTCCCTGCATTTCATAGAGTCTCCTGATGAAACTACTGTAGACCAGGAATCTGAGGACGACCTCAGTGCATCCCGCACCTCACTCGAACGTCAGTCACCACACCGTGGCAACACTACGGTGCACGTCTGCTGGCACAGAAATACCAGTGTTTCAATGATCGACTTTAGTATTGCTGTGGAGGTATCTGCCTCAGAACGACCTGAACTGCAGCTCCAGGCTCGCTTTTGAATGACAATTTCCTTTTTGCTCCTCCTTAACAACTGTGCTGTTCCCTTGTCTCCTCCTGGGGAAGTTTCAGGCATGCTTATTAAACCACCTCCCGTGTTCTCAAATGATGGCATAAACCGTGACTCAAGAAGCACTGATCTGCTCCTGTAGTGCACCTCTGTAAAATCAGATGGAGCAGTAATTTTCATAGAAGCAACTGTCAAAAAAACAAGCTGGTGCCCTTTAAAATGTAAAGCAGTTCAAACTGTCTTAATGCTTTCAGTTACAGAGGCATTAAGTCATTGCTTGAGCGGAAAGGATATTGTCTTTAGCTGCTGCAGCCAGAGTTTTAATTATGTGTATTACTAACTTACTTTCTTTACCTAGCCATCTTTTCTGGAACCTTGTCTCATTGCTCAGTCTCATCTGCTTTTTCTTTATTTGCATTTTCCACCTCAAAATAAACCCCCTTTTTTACCCCTCTGATCACAGCCAAGCCAATTTGGTACACATTTGTTAATTCTGTACTCAACAGCCAAGGTGCAGACATTGTCTTTTCAAAGATTGACATGAATGAAACCTAGCTCAGTGTAGGTTTTAGGATGAGGTAGCAAGCCTGCTGAGATGTTCTTCCTTCACCAAACAGAGTCCAAGGAGCTCTGCATACTTTATCACAGTCCTCAGCAAATGAAAATGTATGCTCTGTGAAAATGGAAAAAGGAATCTTAAAGCTGAGTGGATTTGCACTCGAGTGGCAGCCCTCAGACATCAGGCCACCATTGCTCTAGAGAAGAGATCTTGACACAGGACACAGTGATGCAAGGACAAACATATTCATAGTTTGTGTAACTGCCTCTGTTTTTAAACAGGAGGTGAGTTTGTTGCTAAATATGGCAAAATAATTCCATACTAAAAAATGCTGACTGTAGAGCCTCATTTCAGTCCCACATAGGTGTGATTTTCCATTCTTCATACCCTTATATCCTGCAAGGGAGGAATAGTTCAGCGCAGGACAAGGTCTTGTATTTTTCCCTAAAGCAGAGGGTTTATTATAAAGTAGATATAAAACTTATACCAGTGACTCATTCTAATGATTAAAACATTTAGTTAGGCAAATCTAACTAGGTCTGAGATCAGTGCTCATTGTTGCTCATTTTTGTACCTTCCCTGTGCCTCAAATGAACACAAAGCAGCGAAGACCAAGCACACCCTGGAGCCATGCCTTGTTCTGTGAAAACATCTCCAGCTCCACTGCTGCTCCATGCGTGGCAGGTCCCGCTCATGCTCACGTCATCCTGTCGGTGCCTCTCACTTCAGCATTATCGTTTATTTTCTTTGTGTCTCTCCCTCCTTTCTGTCTCTCTCGTGGTAGAAGATCCTCTCTCTGTCAGTGACTGTTCCTCCCTACCTGCTGGACTGATCAGTGATCAGCGGCCTGTTTCCATTTCATATGTCTGCTGGTACCGAATGCAAAGCCTGTCCTTTTATGATATCCTCCAGAGTAATGAGGTAACAGAAAATTAAGGAGTACACCTGTAACTTAGGGCAAGGAGGCAGTAGTCCAGATATCAAAGAACAGGATGATTTAAAGGAAAGGCTTTAATGCATATCCAAGGCTGGTGAAAACAGAACTTTTTAAGAATACTTCATTTGTATTAGCTACACCAGGAACCCCAGATTTCAACTACTAAGCTTTACAGATTAGATAACAAGAGTGATGTAAAAGCTATTGTGATCCAGGAAAGAGCCCTCACAGTCAACAAGGAATGGGAAGTCATTAATAATTCACTGAGAACCCCCCTTGCATCTCATCTGCAAGGAACAATGATGCTTGGTTTTCCACCTTCATTATGTGAAGAGCGGTTGCTTCAACCAGCCCTTAAATACATATACTTGGTTATGGCTTTCTCCTCCTTTATGTTAAATATTCAAAATCCAGCTAAAAGTAAGGTTAACGGTCCTTGTTTTTGAAATCTTTGAAAAGTACCATGTGAACTTTATGGGTACGGAGACCTCAATCTCTATCTGCAATTCTAAAGTATGTCATAATTTTCCTTTACATCACAAATTCATGTCAGACTTTCTGTTTCCATTCAATTTAAGTATCATTCCAAAAGAAGAGAGTCAGACTAACAAGACTGAGGTTTAGTAACAGATTGCCAAAAGCCACCTCAGTTGATAAAATAGTAAGTGTAGTAGCTTTGAGTTTTTGGAAGTTCCCAGCTGCAAACAAAAAAATACATTACATAAAGTGCAGCAGTAGAAAAATGCAGATGTCCAGTCAATCAAAGCATTTTCATTTACACCAAGGTCACGTGAAAGCAAATAATTTTTCTTACAATAACTAAGCTGCAGGCACCTTTCACTGTTTTACTTGGCTACTTTTGATCTGTTTCAGAACCAGCTGTCTGGAAATCTGCTAAGGAAATTCAAAAACAGCAATGGGTGGCAGAAGCTTTGGGTGGTGTTCACCAACTTCTGCATGTTCTTCTATAAATCGCACCAGGTAACCAACTGGGCAAGTGTGAGTGGCTGGAGAAGACAGTGTGGGGTTCTTTTCCGAAGAGCGAGCTGAGAGAGCAGTGGGTATCAGCCACAGATGCTGTAGGCTGGAGCAGCAGGTGCACTGGTCCTGGCTCCACACACAGCCTTCACTGCCACTGGCACACAGAGCAGGGCTTGTTTTCACTCTGCTCAGTTCTTTCCTGAAGCTTTCAGCAGTCGCAGTACATTCATTCTTGAAAGCACAGCAGAGCTCACCACTGCTCAGAAGCTGTAGTGCAAGTTTAAACCAGGCTTTTCTCACTACAGTTAAAAACTTAATAGTGACTTACAAATTCTGTTTACCATTACTGAGACTTAAGCCAAAAAAGAGAACAGCAGTCAGTGATTTAATCCATCTGAGCAAACATCCGACTGTAGAAGTAGGGAATTTCTGTTTAGAATCTGTTTGAGCAGGGCATAAGGACAAAGTAACAGGAGTTGCTACATTGTGCTTTCATTGTTACAGAAATCCTAAATGATTGAACAAGGAATTGGAGGGTATTCTACACCTGAAGAGGGATAAGGAAATAATTTGCCATGCAGTAAAAGGACTTGAGCAGTGAACCTGCTGGGTGGCCAGCACAGATCTAAAGGAGTAGGAATTTGCAAGCAGAATGAGCCTTGGATAGTTCCCTGCCAATGGCAAATGATGGAGCTTTATGCTCATAGTTTGAAAGTAGTGAAACTCCAAGATACTAGCCAGCTTTCCTTCAGGGAAATACTGACAGAATCAGCCTGCAGCAGATCTTTATGCAAAGGATCTGTAATGATGACCAACTCAAACTACCAGACAATTTTATTGCAGTTGTATACATCTGGTATTTTTCTGTACACATCTAGAAACACAGTTAAATGAGTGTGTATCTGCTTTCCATTTACTTATGTGCTCTCCTTATTTAAGGGCATTTAATCTCACAGCATTTTCCATCATATCTTTTCAGGACAATCATCCTTTAGCCAGCCTTCCTTTATTGGGATATTCACTTACCCTTCCTTCTGAATCTGAAAACATTCACAAAGATTATGTGTTCAAGCTACATTTCAAATCCCATGTGTACTACTTCAGGGCTGAAAGTGAATACACCTTTGAAAGGTATGTTTGTTTTCTGTGAGCAAAAATTTTTGGTAAATTCCAGGAGCATTCTTCCAAAGGTTAGTAGATGCAAAGTTTAATAAGTTGGTTCAGTAATACAGGCAAGTGGTTCAGCACAACTGGAGAAAGGACCTTTTAAAATTATAAAACAAATTTTAAACCTGATACTGCTAAAATCAAGTGATTGGTTGTGATAATATGGAAGCAGCAATAGTAATTACTGCAAAACCTGGGATTATCCAGTCAAAATTGATCAGGCTGTCTGTATGGTGAGCTCCACGTCTCAGACTTCAGGAAGCATGTGAACAGATCACAGGACACCTCAGTAGCTCTTCAGAATAGCTTCGCTTCCTCTAGAACAACTGCATGGAAAATCCACACTTGAAATAAAATTCCAAATTTATAGAAGCAGCTGTTCCTACTACATCTTTATGCCTCTTCATCATGTAATTTTTACATCTCCCACTGAACTTCAGATACATGGAGTGTCATGGAAAATGCACTACTCATCCTAATTTCTGGTTTGTGATTGTTCATACAGGAACTAATTTAGCTCCCTTTATATGAAGCATGAACATGTCACAAATCATGATGTCTTCATCAAAGAAAGCTGTTCTTAACTTTTAACATGTCAGTCCAAAACTGTAAACAAGGCAGCAAACTGTGGGAAAGTGGTGATAAAATAAAACCACAAAATGCCTTTATCAGTTCTAGGAAAAAAAAGCAGAAATTGCAGCTAAAGTACATTTCTTTTGAAAGATTGGTCTCAGTCGGTCATTGCCTGGACCACTCAGAAAAAAAGATATTTGGTGTCTGCAGAGCAAGTAAATTCACTACTAACTTCATGAGTCTTGGGTCCCATCTCTCTAAACCTCCTTGCAGTTTTGGCAGTCGATCCTCTTGCCTTCAGGTAGATTTTGGGGTGAAGTAGGAAGATGCTCCCACAGACACAGATCACGCCTATTGACGGCTGAACAAGCCGCTGTGTTGATTGTCCAGCAGCTGCTTCTGATTTTCTAGAGGACATTTGAAACTCTTTTTCTCCCTCCAAGTTTAGGAAAACTTACACTTTGGTAAAAGAAGAGAATAAGTATGGTTTTGCAGAAACTTCCACAATTCCTCAGCAAAACTGTTTAAATTCTCCGTATATACAAACTAGCTTACCATCATCCCAGTGGCTGCGGTTCATTTCATGTCTTGTATTTTGTCATTCTGTGCTGTTTTTAGCTTGTGCCAGTATTAAAATATTGTCCTTATTAGAGTGCCAAATGCCAAAAGACATTTTGTTGCCTCAAAGATTGCACCTAAAAGAACTCCCAGATGACTGAAACCTGAAAACTTTCTCCTCTGAGGCAAAACACTATTTTCTTCTCTTTTCATAAAAATATATTATTTTTTTTTACCATGTTAATCTGTAGACTGCTGGGCTTTTAAATGTAGATGGAGTTTCACAGTATAGAATATAATTATATATACAGCAAGCAGTCTAACAGGAATGAGGTAACTTTCAGATTTCATGCTTTTTTTTCTCAGTCTTTCTACATTTAATCAGCAACAATTTACTAATTTTCTGTGTTTAACAAGAAAACAGTTTACAGCTCATTCTCATTTCCCTTTGGGGTCACAAATCCATGTGGTATAAATAAAGTATAGGGTTCTTATCTAACCATTTTCTTGGTGCAAGTTGACCAAATTGTTCATCTGATGACTTTGAAAAGTGAGTACTACTTGCAAGACAAAAAATTTTTAAAATAATCCAGTGCAATATTATTTGGGCTGTTAATGTACTGTGAATGGTTATGTACAAGAAGAAATTAAAGGCTGTGGTGACATTCTGCTGTTTGTTTTACAAACTTGAAAGAAAACCTGTAAGCTACAAGAACCGCAGCTATTTGTTATTCATTTGTAGTGTTTTGGTAACTAAATTGCTCTAAGCTGGGGGGTACTACTGAAGCCCCAAGTTTTCATCCTGCTTGCTACACATCCCAAATTAGCTTCCAGTTTATTGTTGGAATTTCAGTTTGTCCCTCTCTCCCCTGGGGCTCAGGCAGACAGAGGGCGACTTACACAACCTGCAGCAGAATTACCCATTCCGTATGCCTGGCTTTAACATCGGCTGGCACCGCATTTTGGATAAGCTGGTGGCGCACTCAGAAGGTTGGCAGCACCGTGTCCACAAGGCTTAGACGCTTTCCCTCTCGTTGTAAGAAACACTGTCACTAGGGTGATGTAAAACTTCCATTAGCAGAAGTTTGATGTGCTGGTAACACCCATCACCATTACAGGCCTTGGAGGAGGCATGGTGCTAAGCGGAGGGGGCCTGACGGTCAGTCTGGGAAATGAAGCTGGGGAAGTTCTATCCCTGCTTTTTCTTCATGCAGCTACTTGCTTTGTTAATGGCTTGTCTGTGTGCGATGTGTAAAGTGGCTTCTTACAGCTTTGCTCACAACAAAAGGGAATAAAATACCTCACAACACCATTGTACATATGCCTGTTTTGAGACAGTAAAGCCTTCTTTCTGTTACCCCCGACCCCAAACGTACCTCTGTCCAAGGTGAGGATGGGTTCCAAACCCCTTAGGACAAGCTGCAGTCCCCAGTGGCCAAATCAAAGCACACCCTGAACAAAGGGAAACCCTTTTCAGAGCATTTCCCTCAGCTGCATGGAGACCTTCAGCCCTCTGGACAGGTAGCGTGTGCAGCTGCTCTTTTCCTCAGTTACTGCCCCTGGCTGTCTGTACCAGTGCAATAATCACACCTACCAGCATTGCCTCTGGCCAAGACCTGCTGAAGGACAAACGTGGAAAGAAAATCTGAAGCCCATTTTCCCAGCTGCAGGTCCCATTGCCTTGTCCATTCTGAGCCTGTGACCCTGCCCTGTAGTAACATACAGGAATTCCAGTGCTTCAGGACTGACCAGGAATGTGAGCAATGATCTGCGTAGTGAGGAGAATAGGAAATAACACAACTGGTCTGGGAAAACAATGCTGAAAAAGCAACAGCTTTGATGTTGCTATGAAGTAAAAGGCTACAGACCTGGTCCTGCCAAAAATTTTTATTATTGAGTGGTAAATTAGTATCTTACAAGACAGGGCCCTGCCTCTTCCCTCTAGAATTGTTATCTATAACAGTGAAAAGCTTTTTTTACTAGAAATTACATTGAGGGCCCTGTCCTTAATTCAGCCAAAACTGGGTTTTAATTTAGAACCCTGGGGCTTGTTGGATACAATGTTCATTAACTGCTATCTGCTGCAGTAGTTTATTCTGAGCTCTCCACAGAAATCACGTAACACTTTACTCATTAAGTTTCATTTTTACACAAGGTCAATTTGGCAAATAAGGCACAGACCAAGATACAGTGATATTTATTGTTAACAGCAGAGAGACCAAGCTAGGCTGTGGGTGTGACTTGCAGAATACCCACCTAATCACCATTTTCACCTTATTGTATTATTTTTCCTATAAAAAAATAAGTTTAAAACAAGATTTTTTTATTCTTTTCTAATAGTGTGATTTTTAATTCCTTTTTAAAAGGGAACCATGTGAACTGCTGTCATCCGTCAGCAATTTTCTAGGTGTCTATTCCCAAGGTTAACCCAAAACTGAAATGATAGTAAGAGAGTAAAATCAATTGTCCTGATGCTCATATCTTGGAAACAAGCAGAGTCCATGTGTGTGAATGAAACTCGATGTACTAGAAAACTTTAATGTACAACCACTTATTTTTAACCCTGAATCACATCATATCACTGCCTGTTCAGCCAAGCAGAGCCTGCAGAGAGGCAGGGCCACTGTGTGCCAGGTCAGGAGCTACCACTAAACACACCTCTCTCAGCTGCAGGAAAACCTCAAACAGGGCACTCCAGGAGATTTACTGCTGGTGTTGTTATTACTCACCATGAAATAGTTGCCAGTTTCCAATGAGCAAATAAAAACAAAACAGGGACTTTATTGCCTCAGGAGCAACACCATAGGCAAAGGGATCAAAAAAGCCTGGACTCCTGTTGTCTTTTCAACAAGATTAAGCATCTCCACCATTTATCTGCTGTCTAATTTAATCACTGTTAAGATATGTTTGATAATACACCTCAAACCTACCTCTTTTCAGAACATTTTATTTAAACAACACTGACACCTTAATGCCTTTGTAAATTCAGCTGAAACCTGACAAAAATGACAGACTGAAAGACAAGTCAGCAGGTAGGGGAAGACATGCTGTGAGTGCAGAAATCTTGATAAAAGTCTCTGACTAAAGAGAAAGAAAAATCTATTTTAGAGACAAAATCAGGTGTAATACCCTACCGTTCCATCAGCCAAGAACAAAACAGAGGATCAAGAAAGACCCGAAAAGCCAAATTTTTCCTGTTCTTCCTTTCTATACAGGACCAATTACACAGACTTAGCCCTCAAAAGCACAGTTACCTATGCACAGGCAGATGCACAACTCAAGTTGCTACAGCACATGGATACTACCTCTGCCCTGGGGGCACAGGAGACCCTGCAGGGGATAAAATAATGGGCAATGTGCCACACATATGGTTTTTAGCAGCAGAAGATAGTAATGAAGTATAACTACAGGTGTGCAGCTGTCACACAGTTTGTCACCAGTTAAAGGTGCAATTCTTGGGGGCGGGGTTAGCAAATGCAATTTGTTGTGAGCACTTCATCAGTTTCACTGGGCTGGCAGGATGGAAACTCAAGGTGGGTTTTAAATCACTGCCATCTGCAAGTGCTACAAATTCTGAGCTGATTACCATTAAAAACCAAACAGTGATTTATAAACTTTCTGCATGTCATTACTGACACGTGGGCAATAGCAGTTCTATAAGCTCAAAGAGCATCCCCTTCAGGGAAGGGGCCCTGAATCTCATCTCACTGAGCACTCAGGTGGCAATGTCATGAAACTTTTCCTTCTTTATTTCTAGGTCACGTAGTTTACAAGGAGGTTTATTGTTTTGGTGTGGAGTGACAAAAGTAATAAATACACAGTTCTAAACAGGCAGCAAGATTACAGAAAACAAGACACACACTTTAATGGTCCTCTGTAATCATGCATTAAAGGTGGCAGGAAACCCTTGCATACGATTTGTCCGTGGCATATGCTCACTGCAGTTACCAGCACATCTGGACAACACAGTTACGGAGAGGAAGCAGATTTGTGCTGTACCTTCTGCTCCTCCCCAGCAGCTTACAAAATCGATTTGCAATTGTCCTGATCCTTGCATTATACCTGTGCTTATCACCACTCTGGATAATCTTCCAATGGTGACGTTTTTGATGGCAAAAAACCATTTCCTTGAAAGGTTACTGTAAAACTACTGGTACCACGTAGTTTACAAAGTAATAGAGAACGTCACATTAAGTAGTGAGAGCTAAAGAAGACACTGCCCAAGTACATTAAAAGCACATTAGGAGGGAGATGATGAGGGGTGCTAGGGTACAGGGGGATGGGAACTCAGGCTGAGCCAGCTGCTTTGCAGTGAGGTACCAACACACCCAGCCTCACCTTCCCACTCTACCCACCCCTCTTGCATAGCAGGGGCAGAACACCCCAGTTAAACTGATTTTTGTGGAATGCCCTATCTTCTGCTCCCACAAGCTCACGCACAATGGAGCTGCAAAGGAACTGTGGCACTGCAGAGTGAAGTTACTGCTTTGTTACTACACCAAAAGCATTCTGTGCAGCACTAGCACCTCATCCTTCAGTGATCTGGTCAGCAACTACAAAGTACAACTGCAGAGAAAATTAAAGTAAAAAAATAGATTTGAGAGTTACAAAAAAGCAAGCCTTCAGTTCAAATAACTGATTTTATTGTTTTTAAACAGTGAGTTTATTTACTGCCTAATCATGAAATCCCTGACAAATAAGCAGTTCTATTAACTTAAAGGTTTGCATAAATAGAGATAGCTTGTCATTTAGTATAGTCAAGACTGAGTGAAGGTACTACCTGCACAGAAAAATTATCAGTGCAACATCGTAACACAGATACGTCTTAAGCATGAAAAAACCCCTCAAAAATATCAATACACTTCTTTTTCTCTGAGAAACTGAGGTGCTTCTTTCAAATGAAGCTCCTCTTCTGTTACCAATATAGACCTGATTTTAAAGCATCAATACTTTTCAATAGCAAATGATTGTACTTCTACATTCAAGACACAGCACGCTTTATTTTGTCAGTGAATCTCAGTTTAAGATAGTCTATATTTAAATAATCTGTATATTACATATAAAAATACACATCTCTACCATAAATGAGGTCTTGTCTCCTTCTAAATGCCCAAGCCTTTTGGCCACCTGCCCATACCATCTTACTTATCTTAAACTCTAACACATTCATCAAGCGAATTCTGCCACCATCTACTCAGAGAAGTACTTCCTCAGCGTACAGTCCTGGAACACAATTAAAATGCAACTCAAAACACAAATATATAACTTTTCAAATGAGTGTTCAAAGATTGTAGCTTAGAATTTAATTCAACATGCTGATTGAGAATTTCTTAACGTTCAAGCCAGCAGCATAAATTTAACTTCCCCACTATGTCTCAGGGTTCTGTGCATCTCCAAGTAAGCTCACTTTAATTTCCAGTCCTTACGTTAATAGATGACTAGAGAACAGCTTACACTGATCAATTTATATTTCCAGTGCAAACACACCTGTTGATTTCCTTATGCAGTCATAGCACATGGATCTGTTGAAGGCTGAATGTTCTCATATTGAGACAGCAACAGGTAAATTTCCCGGTGCACTACATTCTGATGCACATTTCACAAAAGCAGTGCTAAATTTGTTTTCTCAAGAGTGAGCCTATCCATAACACTTAAGAGCACACTAAACAACATAATTAAAGATATTAATCAAAGTGGAGTTGTAAAACATTGCTCAAACTTTAGCATTGTTCAATTTACTTTAAATTCCCTTAGCCATAAAGGAAACCCATTACCTCATTAGGCTGGCTAATGAGTAGTGCCTGAAAGCATGGCCACAAGATGAACACACACGCACGTTTCTTCCAACTGTTGTTTCAACCTGGGCAGAAGTTTATTAGCTCTGTTAGCAAGACAGTGTCCTCTTACTGTTAAATTCTTAAATTAATAAATTAAGGCTATTAATATGCATAGACTAAGGGCTACCATGGTGATAGAAGTCCTGGAAGGAGACCTCACCAGCTTCCACAATGGTTAGTGTACCTGGGTTTCTTGTACCAAGCCAGGCAGATATGCCTGTGCTTTTAAATGTTAATCCTTTCTGTTCCAAAGCTCCCATCTATATTTTTTTAAAAAGTAAATATATAAGTTACCTCAGTGTCGTGCAAAGCATAAAGTCATCAACTTCTTCATTAAAAGAAGGCAAAAATGCTCTCTTAGCTACTGGAGTAAGAAGTACCTGAATATAGTCTTGGTGAAACCAACCAAAGTAAACCTCAGAGTAATACTGTTGGGGGGGGGGGGAATAGCAGCTACCTAATCAACTGTGCATACAACTAATGAACTAGTGTTACTATTTGCAAGATCTAGAACACCTGAAGTCAGCTATCTAGAAGCCCTCACAAGAACAGTGGAAATTACAAAATTCAGAATTTTAAGAAATAGCTTTTCTCTGGAGAGGCAACCAACCAGACCCAACACACAGCACTTGGGCTGTTTTGCAGTCTCTCTGTCCAACACCTGTCAGTTTTGGTAAAGAGATGCACGGATCGAGGCAGCGAGACCAAATATTGAATCTATGGATTTTTCTTTATGCTGAAAGACATTCATTTTAATGATAAAAATAGGCATGATAAAGAAATACTTGCCACTGTCTCAGAATCTACACCTTAAGGAGATATTTCAGAATAAATGAAGTAAATAAAGATTTGTGTGAGCATTTAAAAATGTTCAGGTGAAAAAAAGACTGTGTCTGAATTTCACAAGCTTCACAAATATCTGTTACTAAAATTGAACTATTTCAGAATTTGCGTTGGCACAATTTGAAACAGAAGATATGAAAGAACTCATTCTCTAGGAAAAACAATAATTTAAATTAAAAGCTTTGAGAGACCAGGTGTATGAAATTTAAAGTAACTAGAAGTAGTACCATACATAGAAAGTCACGTTCAGAATATAAGTAAAAAGAATGAAAAGCTGGAGAAACAGAATAAAATTGTGTCTGTGCTGAGGTACAAATAGAAAGTTCTATAATACAGGATTAACTCTTTCAATGGCAAATACTTCACATACAAAAATCTAACTGAGATTCACTTATCACATAATTCAAACTTTACATGTAATAAAGGCAAGGCAAAACTCAGTTATGGCCTGTCAAATGTTTACCCCACTAACATTATCTACAAAAGCACTTTACCATTTTGTACACAGTGATTCCTTATGCACATTGAAAGGCTTTCTGTTAAAAAAGACATTATATATATATCTGTACACAATTCCAACAACCATGCTCCATCTCCCAGTGGAATTCTTAAAGCAAGATACCTGAGGTTTCTCAATATCTTCAATTTCTCTATCACAAACCTAAATATACATTTCAGATTTTACAAAAGGACACCTCCCTGGAATATGTGCATTATCATCTAAAAAAATTAGAGCTTTAAGGAGCTGAAAAAGACTGCCTTCATCCAAGAGATTTCATTTTCACTCTTGGGAATGTCCTTCCTCCCAAGGACTTCACAGAGACTGAGAGGCAGAACATCATTAGGGTGTACACCTTCAACGCAGACACCATGGGATCTCTGCTGTCTTAGGAAAGCCCAGAAGGAAGAGTATGTCAGTAGGATGAAGAACTTCCTCCAGCTAGGGAATATCTGAAGAGAAAAAGAAATCATTACTGTTGCACATTTTAGAAAGGTGCTCTACAAGAAGCAGCAATGAAGTTATTCCATTTTATGCCAATGAAGTTCCAGCCTTTTTTCTTGCACAATGGCACTCACCACTGCCACCACACTTTAAAGGGAGAACCATGAAACTGAACAACCCCGTTACAGTATCTCTTGTTGTCCTAACAAACAGCAACAACCTATGCTCAAGCGTGTTACTACGCAGCACTTAATGACGAAGAACATTCAGTGACTCCAACTTTCCTACTTTGCAAGTTTACATCAAATCTTTTCAAAATATTACTGGGCCAGGAAAACTGTATTTCTTGATCTTAAGAGCACACCTCTTAATCACATTAAGTTTCTGGTAACCCTCATCAAACATCCAAGATCAAAACTGGGCCTGGGGGGGAAGGTAACTGAATTCACCCACATTACTGGGCAGCTGTTCTGAGGGTGCCAACTCATTCACTCAGAGAAACACAAAATCCAGTTCTAACCAATCATAAGAGGGAGTGAAAATGTCATCAGAAACTTGCTGAAAACCTATCTTCGGTAATTAGCGACCAAATTGAGAGGTTATTGAATGACCTAATGATGTAACAGAGCATACTTCTTGTAGCACTCGGACAAGAGAGAATTATTTTTTCAGAATTTGACTAGCTCCAAAATACAGATTTATCCCAAAGGGAAACCTACTGAGCTATGGAATGATTCGAGCTCATTTTTAGTGGGAGTTCTTGCTATTCATTCTTTCACCCCATTTCTGGAATCATTATCCCATACTAGCTGGAATATCATCCCTGAAAAAAAGAGAAAGTTCACCCAGATGTGATCCACTGACAAACATTCTATAGGAATAATTCTTTCTTTCTCTCCCTGAAAGAGAATGAAGTGCCTGCCTTCACTGTTCTAAGACATTATGACTAAGAAAAATAGTAACAGTCCAAGGAAGCAGGACAGAAGGAAAGCAATGCTAAACAGGTATATAAAGGGTTCTGAAATCTTCCTCATAGGACAAAAATGATGAATATTGCTGTCATGACAGAACAAGTATGATCACTTCCAGCATCCCCAAAAATGCCGCTGTCTCCACATGGTCATTTTCAGCCTCAATTTCAGCATCAAGTCTTTGAGGTTTCCAGTTCCAGGAAGATCCCGTACCAGACTGATAAAAATACGACACTGAAATATTAGCTGATGAAAGACTGGATTCAATTTTGGAACCTCTAATGGAAACAAACTGAGATGGAAGTGCCAGCAACTCTTTCAAGTCTGCCAGGACCAAATGAGACAGGACAGGACATCTGGCATTAAAAGTAACCTTTCAGCACTAGAGATGCTGACTGGGCTTCATTCTTAACAGCCCATAAAGCAACAAACACGATTGCTTGCAGGTTTCTTGGCACTGGTTTTTACTGAAGGAGAAACTGTCAGCCTGAAAATCCTGTGCTTCAGCCTCAAAAAAGCTGTGAATTCCTAAACTTAACCAAGCTGTGGTTAAATACAGTGTAAGGGAGACACCTGCTGAGGGTGATCTTTTTCCATGTAGTGGTCCATGATTAATCATTGACATGAGTTTTTTTCTAGTACCAAACAATCCAATCTGGCTGCTGTGAGATTCACAACAGCTGTGGGCTCCTAGATTCAAGGTTGCACTTATAGCCTCTTCCAGCAGCAATTCTGAAATTTACACCTCCTATCTTTTTTTGTGCAGCATTTAAAGGAACAGAAAATTCAGTATTTGTTCATGATGTATTCCTAAGCAAGGCAGTTAGAAAATCACATGAAATTTGGCCTTTTGAAGTAAGACCAAGTACTGGTTGGAGGTGCCACCAAAAGGCCATATAGACTGTCTTTAGTGAACCACCATGGAACCATTGACTATGTGGGTGAAAGAAACACAGACCAACTGAAGACCACTTTTACCAACTGATGGGTAAAAGAAAGTAAGAGTGACAGTGTTCTCTGCAACACACACCCAGACACCAAGAAAGTGTCTTTGCATGAACTGCAAAGGGAAAAGCCTGTCCAGTCTCATTTGACACACAATATGCACACCAACAGGATAAACATACATATGTGCTATCACCTGAAGCTATACATTAGAACTGCTGATATGATTAAGTTTTTTTTCAGTAAGCAAACACAACTGCACAAACTGTGGGCACAAGTGGTTTTCTTCTCCATTAGAAAAAGAAATTAATACTTTCAATTTAACATAAGCCAAATATATATAGAATCAGATTTGCAGCTTCCTGTAAGCCATACTGAAATAGTTTCATTACCTCTGAAGCCTCTGCACAAGGTGTGACACCATGGTATCTGCAATGCCTGGACAAGCCTCTTCAGCTAAATAAACTGCCTTCCTCAGTTCTTCTATGGAATCTGTGTTGCCACCACACACCTCACTCTTCTCTTTCAACTGAAAGGAAACCAGGAAGAAATGTATTATAAGATATTAATAAATATTTCTATACACAATATAATGCAGAAGCTTGTTAGGAAGTGGCCATAAATGTTCACAATGTCAGCATTTGACATTCATCATACACCCTCACATTTTTCAAGGAGAAGTTTGTCTTTACAGTACTTCTCAGGATGTCATTCATCTTCACACATCTTCAATCTTCACACATCATTTTCAGCATGCTCACAGTCAAAAATGACAACCAAGTATCCCAAGAAACAAAGAAGTATTTACCCATAGCTGTTTGGTTTCAAGATGTGCTTCCTATACTTTAGTACCCATACTTACACACCTACAGCTTATACATGTACACTACAGTAATTTTATCAACTTTTTAAAATAATCATATCTTCATAAATTCTTCTCTTACCCTTCATATATCCTTTTTCAAAGTTGATTTTAAGTATTTGGGGAAAAAGTATAAAAAAATACAAAACCCAGAATGGGAACAAAATACAGTTTTCAATGCTGAAGTTCGAAAGTGAAATTCTTGATGATCTGGTCAATACAGTTGTAGAACTGTATCTTGGGACAGTGAAGAGCTTGAAATTTATAATAAGATAAATACATAAAGTAGTGTCAAAAATAGAATGTTGCAATCCAAATATTTACACACCTTTTTCTTGTTGTGTTCATTGTTTTAGGCCAGCATGGCTGATTTTACTACCATGCATATCAAGTATTGTTGGAAGCAAAATACAGATCTCAGAACCAGACATACCAAAGGCACAGCTAAAACTACTTAACACACGAAGTTCAAAATGGGTAGTAACAACCTTAGGTGTAATTCATTATATATTTCAATTTTTTTCAGATAAACATTGGAATTGTTAAGTTTTAAAGCAGTAACTTACCTCTGCAAATAAAGGAGATATAATTGTAGACAGGCATTGGGATAGAGGCCTCTTTGGGATATCCTTTTCCTTGAAAGAAAAAAAATAACTGACCAATTTATTTCTGAAAAAAAGCATCCTCACTGTATTCTAACTAAAGACAAAATGTAGTTCCAACATGGTACACTTCATCAAAGTTTTATTCCTCTATATGGAAAATGTTCTACAACATACTATTCCAAAGCACTGTGGAAAATAGAGGGTGAATTAAAATTTGAGACTACAGCACCTCAAATATATGCAAGCTCAAAATTAGATGGGGGAAAAAAACTAAAAAAAGAAAACCACAAACCAAAACCACCAAACTCCCACAATCCTACTGAGCATGAACTAAATCAGACATGCTGATATTTACTAGGTTCATCCCATATGATACAATATTTTTCTTATATTTCTCCAGAATTTTCAGAGCCAGCAAAGCAACAACCTGCTCTGGCCACACAGGTTGCCGAAAATACAATGAGCAGTTCCTAAACATTCCTAATTCTGGGTTGTTTTAATTTAGATTTTCTACTTTTTAATTTTTTATTCTATTCTTTGTTGCATTGTAGTCTTTTTCCTTAAAAGACCAAAATGCCTTCTCCCAAAACTCCAGCCCCAGCCTAGATTTGCATTGTTTTAGTTTACTATGCAGGACGAAGAGTTTAAAAATACAGGATTGCCTGGTCTTCCTCCAGTGGTTGTATTTCACAAACTAGAGAAATATTTTGGTACGTATTTTGTCAACTACAAAAAAGGACACATTAACAGAATGCCCAAACTTCAAGACTTACTCAGAAAGTTTTGTGAAAGGCAACTACAGAAAATACATTTTTAGCAAATGTTCTGGAAGTTTCACAATATAAATGCTTTTAAAGGCATAAAATAAAATCACACCACTAAATTATTAAAGCAAGAATTATCTCCTTGTATTAAAAAGTCAATATTTTGAGCACCTTATTTCTTTGCAACTCCAAAGGCTGGGCTGCTCCATTCTCTAGATTCTTGGGGTCTTTTTCTCTTATTGTAAAGATCCACTCTTCTGAATCACTCCCACCTGAAGCCTGACCATCTGCTTCACTTCAAGAGAGAGGGAAAAAGAAATAAATCAATTTATATTACCTACACCTTACTGCTGATGTTCATTCAATATATACACTAAATATAAAAACTACAGTAAAGACCAAGATCAGGATACTATTGTGCAGGCCACTACATATAAAGACAAGTATGAAAATTAAGCTTTTATTTTGGGTAAATGAAAAAATTTAAACCAAGATACTTCACCAAAATGGAAGTGAGGAATTACAGATAGAAAACATTTTCCCAAGTTACATGAAGTGTTTTATTGCTATCTGAAAACTGGCTTTAGCAGAGTACCTAAAATCATTAGGGAAAGGGAAGGAAATTAGAAAACTTAATTCATTTTTCTCGCCTAGAAAAATAGCTAAGACACTGGAACTGTGGTCACTGGAAGGCATGAAGCCATTAATACTGTAAAAATACATACACCTGTAATGTCACCCGAGAAACAACCTGATGCTTGCCATTAGCATGCAGCTTTGAATTGCAGAGAATATTTGTATTTTCTTTACTATGAAGTATTTAATGCATTTGTGAATAAACTGTGGCAATCTCTTCACTTGAATTTCATTTGTATAGTGTTACTTGGCTGTGCAGCTTGAGACCTTCTGCCTGCAGTACAGCTGGCCGCACATCTAGGAAGAACCCTGGACCCTACATAAAAGAGAAGGTAGCACAGAATATGGGCCAGAAGAGTTTTTCTCAGTGACTGTTACTTGTATGAAATCCCTGGCAATACTAAAATTAAAATTACATTCATTTACCAAGGCCACTAAGCTGAAAAGCTGCAAATAACAGAACACAGGAATACATGTGCTAAAAATAACTCCTTGGCTCCTACAAAGGATATTTTATAGACTCATCAAACTTACGTGTCTGAGTCATCAGAACTAGAGTCGTCATGACTTTGCTCAGACTTCCATCTCTTGTGCCTGTCAATGAGGTCAGCCAAGTAAGATGTTTTCTTGGAGTTCCGTAAAATGAATTTGTGTTTTAAAAGCTCTTTTGCAGTAGGTCTCTTAAAAGAAAAAAAGAGAGCTGGGGTTTTTTTTACCATGTTTCAGAGTGTTGAGTGACTCACCATAAAAACAAAGAAATCTAGAGTTTAGTCTTGATACAAATGAGATTTAAAATATTTACAGTATCTAAAAATACACCTGTCACATGTCACACCATATTAAAGAAGCTAAATGACACTTATTCATGCAATTCATGTAAAGCAGTCAAGTTCTCTACTACACACTGACAAATATGAAACTCACAAAGCTTGGGTCCTTGTTCAAGCAGGCCTCGACAAATTCTTTGAGGGATTTACTGAAATTTCCTTCCAGTGTTGGTGGATTGTTCTTAGGGATGAGGAACAAAACTTTCATTGGATGTAATTCTGAATGAGGTGGCTCTCCTTTTGCAAGTTCTATGGCTGTTATGCCTAATGACCAGATATCTGCCTGTAAGAAAGAATGCTTTTAAGATTAGGTTGGAGAAAGAAAAGAAAAGAAAGTGTTGGCTTGGTACTCTAGTTTAACCAGCAACACACATCTGCTTGCTCACACCGTCCCCTGGAGGAATGGGGGAGGAAGAGAATTTGAAGGGTAAAGCAGACAAAACTTGTGGGTTATGAACAGTTTAATAATTGGAATAAAATAACAATAATAATAAATTGTAATGAAAAATAAAATAACAAAGGGAAAGAACTAAAACCCAAGAAAGGCAAGTGATGGAAGTGGAAACAGCTGCTCACCACCAACAGAAAGATATTCAGCCAGTCCCAGAGCAGCAGACCCCAGCTCACCTTCCCCATGGTTTTATTGCTGAGCATGCAGCCATATGGTGTGGAATATCCCCCTGGTCAGCCAGGATCGACCGTCCTGGCCGAGTCCCCTCCCAGCTCCTTGTGTACCCTTGGCCTGCTCACTGGTGGTTGAAAAGCAGAAGAGTACTGTGCAAGTACTGCTCAGCAATAAGGAAAACATCCCTGAGTTATCAACACTTGCAGCACAAACCCAAAACACAGCCACATACCAGCTGCTGTGAAGAAAATTAATTTTACCCCAGTGAAAACCACTGATGCTTAGAGAAGCTGATCTTGAACAGAGGCTAGACAGAGTTGAAGAAATAAAATAGGTTATTTATTAAAAGGCCTTTAAAGGATACACCTAGGGCAGTACAAGAGCCCAGACATGGCACTGTCCAAGATGAACCCAAGATGGACACCTGGTCACCAGTTTTCACACTTTTTTAAGTTTTGGTCCATTTACATACTGGTGTTGATTGTCCAATTACAGCTTGAGGTTGTGAAGTCTCCTCCTCCCGGCTTGCTCTCTTCAATTTGCAATTAGTTATGACACAAAAGGCATCACCACCACACTTGTAAAGGTAGATTTTTAAGCTTTACTGTAAATAACCTCATTTGTAAATTGGTTTTGTTACTGTTTTTTTAGTGATTAGCCACATAGCCCAAGTAAACGGTTTCTTGGTTGTCTCCACTCTTCAGTATAAAGCAGTTCTACTAAGTAGAGCTTATTTTTTTTAAAAATCAATACTACTACACCAAAAAGCAATGGCAGAGCTGTTATAAACTAGCATTTTATCTACCATATTCAAGTACACTATGTAAATATGAAGTAAGTCTAAAATATTTACACAAAGTAAAATGTTTTAACTTTTAACAAGATTTTTCCTCAACATAAAATAGCTAGTACAACCATCAGAAATTTAATACATTAGAATATAATTTCCCTGAAGTTTAACACTGGTTTTATATATCATTCTTATTCACAGACTAGGGAAATGCAGTCTTGAACAGTAATATTCAGCTTTTTGGTCCAATTAGCCTCTGAAAGTTTTCACCATCAAAATATGCTACTCTTTCTAGGGAATGCTGTCTCCCTTGACAGAAATGCTATTGCAAATCTGCCTGAAGTAATGTGAGGTAATGCACTATAATTCTTGTATGTTTTCCTGAAATCACAGACCCAAAAGTCAAGAAAATTATAATAAACCTGTCAGAAAGGTAAAAGAAAAAAAAATTTCACAGAAATGTCTGTTCCAAGGACAAAGTACCAATTAAAAATATTTATGTTTGTTTTTTTCCTGTTCTTTTTTTAAGTGAAAGCAGAGCAAAGACTTAGTCTCAGGAAAACAGGAAATCTGACATGAGCTGTCTGGTTTTACTCCCAAACAGAGCAGCTGGAATTTTGCTATGCTGTAAACAGATCTATTTCAAGGTACTGGATAGAGCAGAGATTTAATTGATCACTGCTGTCTTTACTAAGTACCCCTCAACCCCACCTGTGACAGCCCTGTGAATTCTCATGGTTGTCTTTGACTGACTTGCATACATCCATTCCACTATCACACCCACAGTGCCTGGCCCAAAACAAGCTCCTCCTCCCCTGTTCAGAAATTATCCTATTGTTAAGAGCTTAGTTACTTAATTTTGCAAGTAAGAATGAAAAAAAAAATACAATTCTGAGTCAATTAGCATAACATCAAATTCATGAAATGCCATTTTGTTAGCCCATGTTACAGAACAGTTCCTGAGCACAAAGAATTACATAAGCACATGAGCCCCAAGTTTCATTTATCTTAATAAGCGCATTATCAGCTAAGCTCTCCTCAAGCCTAATTGCGAGTAACTTCCCTCTAGCAGGAAAGCTTTTCTTGGCTACAAAAGAAAACTGTCACCTGCAAAGATGAGTCTTCATGTTAACAACTGAGAATTATTTTTGCCAATTTATTCAGAATTTCAGTTTCTCAAGACTGAATTGTTAAAGCCACATAAATGGATAGATTTGCTTCTGCCAAACTTTCAGTCACAGGTGGAGCATGTGTATATATAAGTATAAATGTACAAATTTGCATGTGTATGAGTGCATAGATATCCACTTGCACACACACTTATGTATATGAATGCTTTATTTTTTATCTCGTGAATTTATAACTCTACAGTGACTGACCTTCCTCTATAAAAATGAACAAAAAAGTATAACAAACCATGGCTGCACACTAGACTCTTTGAAGTCCAAGATGGGTTTTGGAAGCCCATTCCTGTTGAAAATACCAAAAATAACTCCCCACATATCCCTCTGGTACCATATGCTCCCCTTTCACAAATAAGAAAGGAAGTGCCAATTGCATGTGTATCCAATTAGGCATTTCTAGGACGAACTTGACTGTGAAAATGAATCCCCAGAACAAGCACAAATAGTTCTCCAAATGGAGAGGGATAAGCATGACCTCAGGACATGGTGACACTACATTATCATTAAGTTTTACCACATGTTGTGATTTTGAGAGTTTCAAATCTTGAACAAAAATTCTTCTTCCAAGTTCAGATGACAGCAAGTCACTCACTGGTAACTACTATTTACTGTAGTACTGCCAGAAGCCTTTCCTCTTCTAATCTAATGAGTAAAATTCAGTCTGGCTTTCAAGTTCTTGTAAGTCGAAGAAAACAGGCTATGTGCAAGAGAAAGCCACCTTCAAATTAAATATCTATTCTTACAGAAAAAGTTTTATAGTAGAAAGAACAGGGAACTAGATATATGAAAAATGAAGTGTATTAAGAAAACATGTTTTCAGACAAGACAGAAATCAAAACAGGAAGTAGAAGCACTGACAAAAACTAGAGCCCTTTCGAGCTTTAATTGGGAAATGCTCATCAAGTATCCAAGACTCTTATGTTCATGTGACATTGCAGACTGAAACAGCCAGAATGGAAAACGTAAGGACTGAATTATACTTTGTTCAAGTGATGGTCATTCCCAGGAGCCAAACCTCAAAAAACCAAAAAACCACAACCCCAACCAACCAAAAAAACCTAATAAACTAAAAATCCCCCACAAAAACACACAAAGGAAAAAAACACCAACCACCATTCAAAAAAACTTTATTCAACTTTAAATTGTGATTTTAGGGTCATTTAAGCTTCTGCAGGCTCTACAGAGTTTTGCTTGTTATAGCCTCTTTACAGAAAGATATCAAATAGGGAATTAAGCAACACTACAGCCTAGACCAGAGTCAGCCATGGCAAGTGGAAAGAAACATCCCAAGCTGTCTCATTGCATGGAAATACGGCCAATCAACAAATCTCTACAGGGAAATCAGAAGAGACAGGCAAGGAAGACGAGTTCAGGGAAGAACATAAGGAAATACTGATAATTATCATAAAGAGCCAATCTTAACACAGGTTGGGCTTGAGGGTGACCTTTGTTTCAGACCTACAGCTGCAGCAGTGCGTTGGGCAAAGAGCCTTTCCTGATAACATGGGTGTCCTGCTGAGCTAGCCAGGCAATGTGGGGCAGAGAGAAGGTAGGGGCAGCAAAGAGCAGTTTATGTACCTCAAACAAATAGAAGCATAAAAAAACAAGTAACCAACACAATGAACTTTGAAAAAAGTTCATCTTGAGCTGGCTTTAATGGGCATATTCCTTCCTGGCAAGTAGAGACACGCAGTGCCATACTGGGGAGAATACGGAGAACAGTAATGTGATGTGCCACTCTGTTAAATCAAAATCCTGTATATATAAATAAATTTGATGTTAAATATTAACACCTCCCGAATGGCAAATCTGAAAGAACAGGGTTGGAGTAGCACAGAACCACGCAGCATATTCTGCCAGAGATGAGTAACAGTCCATTCAAACAACACTTTCACATCCACCAAATCCATATTCTTCAACTGTGTTGCTGGCTATTTCTTTTTTCTAAAAACAAGTGGAAGAATATTAACATTTTGTATATATTTGTACTCTTCTACTTTTAAACAGCCAAAAATATTCATCAATAGAGTGGGATAAAAGGTGATGGGATGTACTCTAGAATACTTCATCATTTCTTGCCACCTGGATTGTCTTAATAAACTAGGAAACATAAACTTTGGATACATATTAGGAAATCTTTCCTCACCAACAGTTTTTACCTGCTAGGTGTCACCTGAACACGCCCTCATGTAGACACAGCCAAAGTTATTAGCTGCATTCTGAAGACCAAACTTTTCAACTTAGAAAAAGGAAGGGACATTGGTAATGCCTTGAAGTACCTTACCTTTGAATCATATGCTGATTGCTTTATTACTTCAGGTGCCATCCAAAATGGTGTTCCCACAAAGGTATTCCTTTTTATCTGTGTGTCTGTTAGCTGTCCAGCTACTCCAAAATCTGCCAGTTTTACTTCCCCTTGTTCAGACAGCAATACATTAGCAGCTGGAATAAAGAAGAGGAAATACCAGAAATTAAGATATTTGACACCATTTGACAATGTAAGGGTGCTCATTCAGGTTGCATGAGTTCTTCTGATAATCTTTCATCATACCTTTAATATCTCTGTGGATTTTCTTTTCCGAATGCAAGTAATCGAGTCCTTTGAGTATCTCCCTCAATATTGTAGCAATTTGAGTTTCATCAAGTGAGCCAGGTTCTAACTAGGAGATACAAGAAATGTTTAAATATTTATAAAAAAGGGACAAACAGAGAATAGAAATAATGTGACTATAAAAAGAAATTACTCCTTCTGTCACCCCTCAAAATTTCCAATTTTTTAACTTCATAATGTGAGACAAAACATATGGCCTTATTAAAAACACATGGTTCTAAACTAAGTGGCCTAATGAACAACAGGCAAAGAAATAATTTATCTAAAATATTACATAAAATTTGTTAAAGGTGCCATAAAGACAGAGTCTCAAGTTACTGCTTTTTGGTCAGGTCACAGATATACTGTACCTTTGAAAAGCATATGACAGTTAACATTACACTGAACTTAGATGTGCAGCTCCACAGACCCTATGTAGTCCCAAATCTCAAAGCCTGAGTAAGAAGCTAAGTTCAAGGTACTACATCAATCAAACAGTCTATGACTACATACTGCACTGGATTTTGAAAACTGATAGGCTGAGAGGATACTACGTATTTTTAAATGTTAACTTTTTTCATATAATAGTGGAAATATAAATATGCTAATTGTTAAAAGATACCAAGTAATTCTTCTTATGAGAATAATCAGTAGTGTTAGAGAATCCCAAGTATCTTTATATCTGATATACATTCTAAAAGTGAGAATAACAAAAGAAAGATCACTACTCAGAGAGACTTCTTAAACAATAAGGGCATCTCAAGAGACACAAACTTTGTGCCCAATAGTTAATACTGGAAATATTCCACTATTCTAGCTTACTCCACAATAGCACTCACTGAAGCACAATCAAAAAGTTGCACCTCCTAAGCTTCATTCTGTGAGAAGGAAAGCATTTCAGATAAAGATATTCAGATAAAAATAAAAACAGTATGTCCCTCTGAAATCCTCATGCATAGCAACAGCATAGCAACAGCTGTAATATTTCATGTAACAATGCATTTGCTTTATCTTTGCAGCTTTACTTACTATCTTTCCTTTTCCTTAGCTCTGATAATACACACGATATTACCGCTACCTGAAACCCACTAAAACATTCTCAAGGCTTTCCTCCAGCCAAGTTTGAGACTTGGTAACATGACACAGCACATCTAATGGGGGAAAACCTCATCTGTCAGATTCAGCTCACCTTAGTGAGGAGGAACTACTGAAAATAAACTAAATTGGAGAATATTGGCACTTTTACCTCAGTCACAAACTTGAGCTATATTCAGAGTTTGAACAAAAATGTACATGCAGTTGCACTGTACGAACTTTTTCATGTGAGGCAGAAATCATCCAGTGCATATTCAAGTACAGAAAACACCAAGCTAGCATGATATGTCTGCACTCTGAACATGGAATTCAAGGTTCCTGGTAATTCTTGCCTCGAGTATGAAAATGCCGCAAAGCATGCCAGCTTCTAGTCGAGAACCATGTGCACGTCAGAACAAGGAAAACATGCACCAGAACAAATGAAGCACACAAAAGGTGCTTGATAGACACTTACATGATGATTTCAGTTCTGTGGTGCAATTTCTTCAATAACATTTTAATATGTAAACAAGGACTTTATACTATTTCCAGGAAACAAATTTAGAGAATAAACACATAGTCTTCACACAAGTGAAATTTGTGTGAGGAAAAGAAAAAAGAAGGAAATATAGTAACAGGTGTTTTCATTCTACTCTTTTATACCTATACAAAGAAAGTAATAACTAATTTATAAAAGTATACATCCCTTCTAATTGCTCTTCTGTCAGGAAGAAAAAAAGCCATCACAACAATAAATGAACATTTTTAATCATATCTTTATGTGGAACATCATGAATTTTTACACAACCACAGAACCCGTAACAGATGTGGAAGCTAAAGGTAAAAATGGGTTCAAAAATACACATCTGCAAGAAGTCCACATTTAATACCCACTCCTGTCTTCTGGATGTCACCAGCAGAATCCCTTTACAGTGACCTTGTTCCTTTAGCTCTTTTCTCAAGCATTTATCAGTTACCCCATTTGACAACTGCAAACTCTGCTACAAAGATATTCTGCCTCAATTTGTGTAAAAATTTTCACATACTTAAAACATGCATTATTATTTCTATAATACTGTTTTTTAAATCCACAATGAACATAAGAAGGTGTGTCATTTGGGAGGGGGCTTGGGTGCTTTTTAACAGCTAAAATGAATGTCAGCATCCTGTCAAAGAAAACACAATCTGCACTGACCCCTTCGAATTTCAATTCTAATCTGAGTACTCCATCCCAAGTGCAGAATTTGCTCCTGTTAAATTTCACATGCTTGGTGATTGCACAGCCCTTTGGTCTATCCAGGGCTCCCTGAAAAGGCCTCTCTACCCTCCATGGAGTCCACAGCTGCTCCTATTTCTTTGAAATATTATTTTTAATACCAGCCTAAATTGTATTTCTGTCTGTTTAGACTTCAGAAAAACTTTAAACAGGGAACCTTTTGTTTATTTGTTTGGGGGAGGGGGTGGTGAGGAAGATACGTGCAAATGTATAAACTATGAAGAGTTGGGGTGGCAGAATTAAAAGATAGAAAAAACTATTTTCAGGCGCTAGTGCTCTCTGGCTGACTGAAGATTAGCATTCTAAGATGTTTATATCCTGCTTCCAATACTATGTTGCTTAGTTCCCTTCTATTTACGAAAATAATCAGTCATGCCTCATGGAAAAAAAACATTTTTCTGGCATTGACAAATACTTTTCTCCTGTACTGAAAGTAAACATTGCCACAGAAAAGTGATATATTATAGTGTCCAGAATTATAAGGTAGGAAAATAATTAAGTGAAGTAAAGTAACAAAAAACCATGCATAAATTACTTACTAGATCAAGGGCAGAGCCTCCACCGAGATATTCCATTATTATCCATAATTTTGTATCCTGCAAAACAAAAAACCAATAAAAATGTATTCAATTTATTTTTTAAAAATAATAACCTAAGTTAATGGGATTGTTTCATTCTTTTTGCTGAAGAAATTATCTGTAGTTTTGAAACACCACTAACATTTAGCTGTTCCTCAAAAGTATCTTTGGATTACTTACTCAAGAGTGTGTATGGAGGAGAATGCTTTTTCATTTTAAAATTCCAATTACAGATATTCCAAATATCAAACAGTGTTACATATAACATATTACCCTTCCTTAGAAAATATTATTTTGATTTTGTTGACTATCTTTAAATATTTTCTTTAGTAAGCTTGACTCTCTAGTTTAAATTGAAATATAATTTATTCTTCATTTTTCTACATTGCTTCATTTTCTTGAACAGTCAAGTAGGTTTTCTCCATTAATGCTTATGCATCTGATATATGGTATAGAATTTTGCACAGTTGTGTTCAAGAAAGAAGAACCAATTAGAAATGAGGATTGTTTAAGATGACTGTAACAATTTACTAGCTTCATCTAGTTGTTGCTAACAACATCAAGCTACTATTCCTAAAGAAAACTTGGTACATATTACAGGACTGTTTAACACAAGATACACAATATACTCTGCTGAAAAAGAGACTGGGCTAAATCCTTTCCTTCCACTGTTTGCAGCATCAGCTTCCCAAATACACTAAGAGAAGCAGTTAGTCCAGCTTTTCCTTGCAGTACCAGCCCTAAATAATACAATAAACACAATAAAGCAAACCCACAAATCTACTACATACACACTGGTGGTTTAGTGTTTATGATTATCAAGTTATTTTAAGCTTTGTTAGTTTCACCTCTATGGTACATACCAAACTTTCACAAGACCTCTAGCATAATAATATAGATATCTCTCAGAGCAAGGAGCACTAAATAGCAACAGTATTCATTTACTTTATCCAACAGAATAAAACTTCACGGAAAAATAAAGGCTCACAGCCAGGGCATCTGACTCTGAATTCTCATCTATAAGGATAGATTCAAATTTTTAGAGAAGTAGTAAATGTACTTCAGGACATAACTTCATCTAAATCCTCTGAGGGATTAAAATTTTAGCCCTCAGGACTCACTTAAGTCTTTGAGTCATTATTATTTCTATACTTCACTGCATCCACCCCCTCTCTGGACTCAGAATACTCCTGCTGTAGGTAAATGTGCATTTTTCCTACCTCCAGTTACACATACCATACTATTTTTAGTTAAGACCCTGGATTAGAGTTCCTTCATCATCCACTATTTTTAACACACAGACTTAGCTAAATTTAGATACCTTTCTTTAGGAATCAATTCATGCTATTTGACAAACACAGTCTTGTTAAAAATATTTTAGGAGAGCCAGAACATGTGTTTTAGGAAGATTATATTTTTTAATTACTCTATCTCAGTACTGACAGACAGCACCCTGATTGAGCTTACTTTCTGCAGACACCACTAATATTCCAAGAACTGTAACTCATCTTGATAGAGTCCCTTACAGTATTGATATACTTGTTCTTCTGCTAAAATTTTTTCATGTTTTTCCTATCCCTTCAAGGCTCTAGGTCTTAGCAGTTCCTGAACAAGAACATCACTGAGATGTGTCTTACAATGAGTCATCCTAAACTTCATCAAAATGTTATATTTATATTTTGCTGATAGAATGTATTTTAAAGCTACATGAAATTTCCTGAATATTCGAACCTTACATTTTATTTTTATTGTAACTTAAACACAAACATGTCAAATGCATCACTACCTCCTAGTTCACTGGAAATGCCTGGCTGGGAAAGAACAAGGTAAAGGAAGTAAAGAAACCCCTTGAACCTTTCAAGAACAGGGAAGAAAATAAGAAGGAAAAAAAAATAAAAAAATAAGGGAGAACCTCCAAACACCCACAACATCTCACACAGAGATCAACAAGAAGCAGCTTCCCTCCTCTATTATCTCAAGGATTTAGAGGTAACAACTCAAAATAAGATACAATTTCCCAAAAGAGAAACTCTCTAGAACACTAGGTACCAAATTCCCCAGCTGAAAACTAGAAATTAGAGGTAGAATATAACTAACAAAAAGATATAAGAATTTTAATTACATAATCATATAACACAATTACACTACTACGTTTTATATTACTCATAGTCTTTTTAAATCCTCATTTATAATTTCAATTATTTTTTTTCTAGTTCAATTAGTCTTTTCTCCTGAAACTTTCATCATCAGCTGCCTAAGGCCACATGTCTGAATTTATAATACAAAAGCCATTGATCCAGTAAATTCAGTAATTCTACATTTTAAAGCAAATGAAGTATGTAAATACAGTTAAGAAATACACACACAACTGTATCTGTACCCCAGTATAAAGCTAAGTAATAGCAATCTATTACAATTATGACATCTTTTTATCTGAATCCTTTGATTGTAAGTTGTTTTTAAAGTTTCTATCATTCATATGAAGTATCTGAATACATTCATATGAGGTGCTCAAATAAAATTAATTACTATGGTAGTGAATCCTACCACCTTTCCCTGGCTATTTTCAGAATTTTTTTAAGCTTTCTTTTATAAAATCTGCATATATTGCTTAACAAGGAGACACAAATAAATCCTTTTAGTGAGACAGCTGTAATGAATTTCTCAATATGTATTTCATCTTGGAGGCAACAACCGATATATACTGACTTTGCCTGTGGGGGTTTGGATGCTGGGTATCCCCCAAAAGCACTCTGTCACTCCCTTTCTTGCAGGAGCTCTCAAGACCTCTGACCAACAAGCCAATATGATCTCGCAGATCCCATTTTGTGTTGACATTACACACTTATTCATACATTCTAAAACTACTGACCACACGATCACACATCTTTTCATTGGTGCCCCTATCCTGTCCATGTGCTCTGCACACACCCCTCGGGGCACAGGATTGGTCTTATCTGGCTCCTGTGGTCCTATTTTCTTGGTTTTCAGCCTCTTTCTTATTTTTAGAACAGCTTATGTCTCAGCAACCTTGAGAAATTCCAGGGGGTCTGATAAGAAACTCTACAGACAGTTTGGCTGGTGCACACTATGGCCCAAGCTGTTCAGACGCATTGGTACACTTTCTCACCTAGATATGGGAGAGAGAATATAGTAAAAGGCTTCTGGGGTGAGGTAAGGACAGGGAGAGAGCAATCTCCAGCTGCCCTCATGGGCAAGGCAGACTAAAGCTGAGCACGTCAGTATAATTTATTACCAGTCAAATAAGAGTAGTATAATGACAAGTGAAACCACATCTTAAAAACAATTCCCCTGGCCCCTTCTCCATGGGCTTGAATTTCACTTCCAATTTTCTCCATCTCCTCCTCGCAATGGAACTGGGGGACGGGGAATGGGGACTGTGGTCAGTTCATCTCATGTTGTCTCTGCCACTCCTTCCTCCTCAGAGGGAGGGCTCCTCACGCTCCTGCCCTGTTCCCACATGAGACAGTCCTTCATGGACTTATCCAATACACATCCTTCCCACTGCACAGAAGAAGGCTGCACTTCTTCTTCATGAACTGCTCCAGTGTGGGTCCCTTCCATGGGGTGCAGTCTTTAGGGAACAGCCTGCGGGTCTCCCACAGTGTCATAAGTCCTATCAGACCTGCTCCAGAGTGGGTTCATCTCTCCATAAGGCCAGAGGCCTTGCCAAGAGCCTGCTCCAGTGTCAGCTTCCCACAGGGTCCCAGTCTCATTCAGGTACATCCAGCTGTGTGGGTGGTGCGGGTCTCCCACCCAGGCTGCAGATGGATCTCTGTGCTCCCACCGAACCTCCATGGGCTGCAGGAGCACAGCTGCCTCACCAGAGTCTGCACCAGGGGCTGGAGGGGAATCTCAGCTCCAGCACCTGGAGCACCACCTCCCCCATCCCTTCTCTAATGACCTTGGTGTTTGCAGGGCTGTTCCTCTTTATTATTCTCACTCCTCTCTCCAGCTGCAATTGTGCAGGTTTTTTCCTGCCTTCTTAAATCTCTTATCCCAAAGGCACTGCCACTTACTTACAGGCTCAGCCTTGGCCTGCAGCACATCCATCCTGGAGCCAGCTGGCACTGGCTCTACGGGACTTGGGGAAAGCTTCCAGCAGCTTCTCACAGAAGCTGCTCCTGTGCCTCCCCGCTACCAAAACCTGGCCCTGCAAAGCAGAGATAATGCCTTCTAACAACAGCACAAGGCCAGCACAGTGCTACTATCAACTGACTTTGGCATCACCACAGCAACAGGCCTCCTTCTTTCCTGAGTATCTCTGGCATGCTTCACATTCCCTAACACCTACTGTCACTTTCCTTTTAAAGCTGCCCAAATTCTTTTTTTTGCTTGAACTTCTCACCCTCTTCAGTATATATTCCCCTTTTGCTCTCAAACAGAGCTCTGAAAGCACTACATTTTCTTCCATAGCCTAGATTAGTAATTCTGTATTACACATAATCACTTTTACTTTCAAGATGATACTACATTTATATACTGACACTAGCAACATTCAGTGCTCCATTTTAAGACCCGAAGCAAGACCAGTTTTCTTCTTTTAAGCATCAGCCACAACACAGCATTGAATTTTCTTCAAAATACTGTGAAGCCACGGTGAATCATCCATCCAAATTTAGGATTATTATTTCTCTATAAACTTAGATGAGCAGATTAATGGGGGCACATGGAAAATTTCCTTTTTCACAACAAGAACAAGGGGCTTTCCTCTGATACCATGAAACTGAAGAAAGGAACAGCTTTGGAATCTAGAAGAAACTCTGACAAGAGTTTCTGTAGATCCTTTCCAAACTATGGTTGCTATTCTTGAGGTCTGACTTCTGAATTTAACTCTGGAACCACAAAAAACCTTATAATAGCAACTTTACCTCTGATGAAGTTTCCTTCATCAAGTTACTTCTATACCATGAAAGTACTTACAAAATAAGTGCAGATACAGTAGGTAAACAATTTCTAGTATGTAAAAATTTAAGTCTATACACTGGGAGAAAAAA